TTCTTCCACTTACAAACCCCATACTGATATCTCTGTTTTAATCTGTTTGGGATCAATTAACATCTCACATGAACGTGAATACGTCACATTTTATCATTATACCACCTATCTGCAATGTTAACCGGACAGAGGTTAAAAAAAGTCCATTCATACATGTAATGAATTCTTCCCTACATTATAATCATTAAAATATCGGACGAAGGGCAAATTCATTGCTCACCAAACTAAGATTTGTTAAGTGTCACTGATCCGCATATCATTGAAATGAGTGCGTAGAAATTGTGAGACGAGTAATTTGATAGAGAAAAAGAAAGAGGGTTTCCAAGGGAAACAAGATAGTAACTATAATCAGGTAATCGTAAAGAGATGTATTTTGCCTACAAAGAACTTTCTCTCCAAATTATTCAATCTGATATTTTGTAATGGAACGGAATGTTCAACATATTTTTATAACGAATTGAGAAAATAATTATTCTCTGGTTCATAACAACATAATCGTACTCGAGTGGTACGATTTCACTTAGGTCCAAACGAAAACCATTCAACTAGCAAACTCAAATGAACCAGAGATATAACGAATATTACACAAGTGAAATAAAACTTATTTCATACAATGATACCTTCGTTCTGACATTATTACCCTATTAACTTTTTCCGCACAAAGGCAACATTATAACGTAACACATTCCAATTTACTGCAAATGAATACAGCACAAGCAAAGGGTTGTGAGAAGAAACAAATATACATGCATTAAACTACAAATAACCAGCACGATTTGAAGCACGAAATTGTATCTCATTAACTACAACAAAAAACGCACTAAAAGTTCAAGATACTTGGCATTGATTCGTGTAATAAAATCTTGTGAAAAGAAAAAAAGGGAATTTTTGTACCAAGGTTACCTGTACTACTACCATGAAGTTAAATAAATGAAATGTTAGTACTTCATTTTTTTAAAAATGACTATTTGGTTTATTTTGTATACCACTGTAAAAAATGCAAATCTGTCACTGTTCTCTTCAAAAATATTCCGTATACAATATATTCGAACCAAACAAAACTCAACCAGTAACAACAAAATAATAATAATAATAATAATAATAATAATAATAATAATAGCAACAATAACAATGAAAAATAGTGTTCCACAACTGAAATTTTAAATTTATTTCTTCAGGTCAATGGATCTCCTAAAAACCCTTTTAATAGTAAGACCATGCGAAGAGACATTTTCATTCGACTATTATCTTAATCTGAAAAGTTTTCATAAACTGCAAAACTATCATTTCTCACATAATTTCTATATTTACGGCCTTATCAAATACTTGTCACCGTGCGTTGTCAGTCAATGAAATTACTGCATGAGAATACAAAGCTTTCTTAAACCGACGAAAAAAATGACAATTCATGTAAACTCTCTACACAACTCTAAAATACAAATCAGAAATATAATAACACACTTTTGCGATTTGACATTGATATTATCAATAAATTAAATCTTATAAATCAATCTCGCCCAACAACTTTTAATAGTACATGTAAATTCGAAATAATTTCTTCAGGAGGTCCCGTAGACACTGCAGATATTAGAAGTGTGCAAAGAATCAGAGACAACAGCCAAAACATTTTCCGTTCACTAAATAATAACGTATTAAACGTCGCTGACAACCATGCCGCCGTGTTTTTAGAATTTATCAATGTAAATCTATCGTGCTTAGTTCTATGTCTTACCTGAAACTGGGTGTTAGGGCTGCTCGCCGATGACCCGGTCAACGTGGAAACTACAAATATGCTGAGAAAATCGACACACGACTACCACTTGGGTAGGAGTCTGACGATGCACTGCACCTCCACCCTTCAACCCTCTGTTCGACAAACCCTGAGGTTCCCGTTTCACCACCTAGATGGCATGATACGACGTTTGCTAGCGCTCCAAACGGTGACCAAACATAACTCTTACCCTCCTCTCCGCTGTTCTAGCATGGGTATTTTTTGTCCTCGTCCAACGCCCACGCCGGATAATGCTTGGTCCGCGAAAGAATATGTGAAGATTTTTAGAATTTATTAATTCAGCCGTTCTTTTTCAATAGTTTAAAATAAAATTAAAATTAGAGTTACTCCTATGCTCATTTACCTCCCGTCACATTTTTTTTTTATTTTTTTCAGAAAACAATGGATATTCTTATTCTGTTGTTTATACAAGTTACCATGTAATAGAAACATACTGTCACAGGATTAGCAAGTGTATTAAAACAAAAAAAGCATTTACAGGCTTTACTCAAGAAAAAGTACAAATATGCAAATTAATCATTACTGTAAACAACCGTCTTGATAAGAACTAACTTTTTTTTTATTATATCTCTAATAATTATGGGTAGACAATTGGCTTAATATTGAGCCACTACTCATAACTAATCCTAAATGTGTATCTCTCTTGCATGTAGCTAAATATTACACGATATTTAATGCATATCTGAAGAATAAAATCTGCAGATCAGCCAATAAGTTTATCCACAGAAAACAAATCACCATCTTTTACAAAGAACATTCCCAGTTCCTAGTAGAAACTTTTAATGAAACAATAATTAATTTAGTGTGACAAACTTTTTCTTCGGCTTACAATTTAGTGACTTTTCAAATGTTATACATGCAGAGTCAACCATACGCATATTCAACCTGACAACTTTATTAACTGAAATCTTAATAGCAATATTCAGAAAAAGGAGAGCAGAAAAAGATTCTTTAGGCCCAGGTATATAAACAATGGATCGTTGAAAATTAATGTTAATTGAGAAGGAAAAAGAAAAGAAAAAATACTTTAGTTGATGGTTTCACCTCACAGCTGAGGAAAAAAATTAGTAACTTTTTCATTTAATTAAAAAATCATAATTTCCCAAATTTCTTGTTTTTGCATGCATTAGTTAGCTTTTGGGACATTTAAACAGTTGCCCCACCCTGCAGTTCCAGGTCAATCGGTCTACAGGGCAATGTCCAATTAACACAAAGTCCACAGCAAAAAAATCCACACCAAATGCCCACTGCATAAAATGCAATGAACGTAATGTCCATTGTATAATTTCCATGAATGGAATGTCCACAGCAAAAATGTCTACAAGGAAGACCCGTAATATTGTCTACAAAATGAGAAATGTCAGGTTCTGTTCAATTGAAATGCATTGCCTTCATAAATAATAACATTCATAATTCACTTTTAGCATTCTGTAGCATGTAGTAAAGGCACCCCATTGTAAATTTCAAAGAATGGTTTCTGGATATCGCGTGAATGTTTGGAAATTCTTAGAAAATATTAGAAACAAACAAAATGAAACCGAACAAATCATGATAAATCTTCAAAGCAGACACATTCATGTTAAACTTCCCATAAATAAGTAGTGTGCCACAAATCAAAGGTGAATTGCAAAATTAGTGAGCAGATACCAGGATCACAATAATGTCAAACAATATGTACATGCTCTTTCATCCTGTGGTAGAAGAATATTGAAATTAAATTACTGGTTTTTACATGTAATACTTTAAAAAGTAAATAAAGTTGTCATAGAATTTTGTCAATGAAACCTTATTTTCCAAATCATGCTTCTAAGCATTAATTACAGTGAACATTGTATGCTACTGAACATTTCTGTAATGGACTTATAAATAACTTGGACAAAACAGTATTGGACTTACAATGAAGTGGAAATTTATACTAATGGCCAAATCCACGAGTAGATATTTACCTCTGAACCAATTAAATTATATAGTGGACATTTACCTGTGGACCAATTGACTGCTACCCCTCCTGGCCCATTAACACCTAAGGGATCCTAAGGGATTCGCCATGTGGTTAACTTCTGTATCCTGGGCAATATAGCTGTTATTCAAAAGTATTGGGCACATCAGTTTGAAAATGATAAAATCTTTTAGTATTTTCTTTTCTTGTTAAGACTATGTATTTTATGTTTATTTCATTATAAAATGTAGCATGTAGAAAAGGCATTCCATTGTAAATGGAATTCAAAGAAACACATGTCAATTTTGCACAAAGTAACAATGTTAGAAAATACACAGTTAACTTCGTGTATCAATAATACTGGTGCAAAACAATTATATTATATTTAAGTTCAGATAAAGTTCCATTTGCGAATCTATTTATTTCTACTTTTATTTTTCGAAATATATTGTGATAAAAAAAAAGCTGAAAAATAGTCTAGTTCAGTCGAGTCTTCATTTAGAGGAAATATTATTTCACTGCTTTTCTCAAACACTGGTAATTCAGATGGTTTATCAATTTCACAGCATTCTAAAGGAAATGAAAACTCTTGAATTTGAGAAGACTCAACAGTAGAATTATTTTCAACATTATTACTTCCCTCAATACAATTTTCATTGCTCAAACCAAATAACACTCCAGGGATAAAATCGACATCCTCAGAGGAATTCAGTTCTGATCCATTATTTTAAAACTTTTGAACTTCTAATGTTAAGAAGTGTGAATTTTACAACTATGTCTTCCAAAACATTTGCGTATGTCGCAAACAGCAAGAACACTATTACAAAGAAAGACTTTATAAATATAATCACCAGTGCCTGCAAGTATAAAAATCCAATCTCTTCCTGGAAAAATTCCAGAAAATTTTATTGCCTGTTAAAGTCGATAAATGTAGAAGGACGTATGTCACATCCAACAGGACAGCAATAAAATGAACACTACGTATCAGATACGACTGTAGGATCAAAAGTGTTCAAATAAACAATATAATACCTCTGAAATTTACGATCTTAATTTATAATTTTGTAGAACTTATAAATTACAAATATTATTCCAATACACATTATTTCTATATAAAATGATTTATACTACTATTTATTTATTGTGCTTCTATTTATTTACTGTGGAACATAAAATACTGTGCATTTTGTGCAACATATAACATTAAGAGGGATACAATATTTGACCTCCAAGGAAACCCTAAACAAGAACAAATAAAAATACAGAACGTGTAGTAAAATTCTTTTATTTTTCTTTAACTTGTCAATTTAGCAGCTCCTAAATGAATCTTTTTCAGGAGCATGTGGAATGGTAATTTCAAAGCAAAAACCTGAAACACCTGTGCCCATCTATACAAACTCTAGGAAAAATGTTGAATTCTTATTTACAATATATTCACATCCATATAATATATTAGCATTTTACTCACATCTTGTACAATGGAATTAATATACCTTCTCATGAACACAAACATAACATTGGAATAATTAAATCAATAGATGTTTGGAAAGTTTGGAGAAGTAAATGCTTTTCTTAAGGTACAGGAAGTTGCAATATCATTTTTCACTAAACACGCTGAAATTCAATGCTGCTTGTAAAAGAACTTTAGACAATCCCAAACAAAGAAAAATACACAACATTGAATATCATATGCTTTATGTTGATAGTAATTTGAGCGTAAGTCTGTGCACCCAAAGGAGACGCGTTTCCATCTTTCAGCCGATAGTCTATTATGCAGCCCGGATGCTTTGAATGATTTGGAAGATAGCTGGAAAAAAAATAAAACACTAAATTAATTGAGACCTGACAACACACACAATTTTATTATTCAATAACAAAATACACAGCAACAAAGTTTTTGCATCCAAAAATACTACCAATATCTGAATCATTGAATTTTTTAATAAAATGAGAATATTTTTTAATATTTTGAAAGAAGGCCTTTAAATAAAAATAATGCAATTATAAAAAAGAAAAAGGCAACTACAAAAATATGCTTAAACCATAGTCAACAAAATGAACAGCTGACAAAAAAATGGCATGTCCTTTCAAGATCTTCAATCTCAACAACATACACTCCAATTTCATGCTAGAACAGGGGTCTCCAAATTACTGCCTGTAAGCCAGGCCTACTGGATGCAGCCCTGAAGACATTTCCAGCATGACCTCCCTATCAGGTATCTACAAGTGGATAGTGGAAAAGTTCAGGGGCAGCAATGCCAAAGAACAACTGGCAGGAAGGAGCTGGCTGGGGGTGTTGAGAAAACCAGGACATGTCATTACACCTGAACACCAGGTATAAAATGTGAATAATTAAAACACAAGAGACAACACCCTTGATAATTTCCACCTTCTGTTGTTCAATGATTTTGTGATGAAAAACTTTCAGACACATCACATGAATCATTTGTGTTGAGCACATTAATTTTTTAGTTTCCCATTAGCAATCATTATGAATTTTGGAAGCCCTTATCACACTGTGGAATGAGTTTCTCATTATGTTCCTAAAATGAACAAGTCTTAAATGAATCTTAAAAAAGAAACTAGTCCATTTAAAACTAAAAGTTCTTTAAAAATTACACTTAGAACTATTTTTTATTTAAGAAGAAAATTCTTATCAGTACTTTCCAAAAAATAAAATTAAGATATATTTATTTACACATTTTTATTATCTTTCACAATTACCATTTTTGAATTCATTTCATACATCAGTGTCAATTATTACTCAATCACTCCAGCCGCTGTAGCTATAACAATTGGTAGAATGGCCATCTTGAAAAGTTTGGAAACCCCTGTATCATCACCCACATCAGTAGCTCAGAAAGTCAAGGTCCAAAAGGCAGAAGCTTTACAACTGCTATCATTCAGCCTTAGGTTTCAATCACAGAGGCAAGGCATTCATGCTTATTCATTAAAATTCACACTCATCCTTATATTCCTATAAATTACATCAATGGCTACCAAAGGACTGTAATAATGGAGACCACTAGACTTTGCTCTACCAACTGAAAACTGATGTGTACCTGGTATGAGTAAAAGTACTAACTCTTGAGATCAGGAGAAAATAAGTGAAACTCGTGATCATGAAAGTTACTTATATGCCTTACAAATGCGAGAAAGATTTTGGTATTGTGAAATCCCAACAATTTAAAATTTTAACCGTTCAATCATTTCAATGTTTCAGACAAAAACTTTTAGAACTCCACTTCAGATGAATGCAAAAGGAAATATCCAACCACAACAGTGATAGGGGAGGATTCCTTCCTTTCTCATTCATCTGAAGTGTTAAAAAACTTTTCTCTGTGTATAGTAGTAGATTTGAGTATAGTAGAAAATTCATTTGTTTGAAATTTAATTGTATCAGTATTGAGATTTGAATTATGGCCTACAAAAGCAAAATTGTTTTTAAGAGTATAAAATAAACACTCATTGCCTTCAATCAGAAAAACTTATTTCAATGTCTGCTTTTCTCAAAACTACCTAAATTGTATTGAAGCTGCACTACAAAAGTACAATGCATGAAAGCACTTACTGTGAATCCAATAACTCTCAGATCATGCTATAATCTTTATTTTGAATTTTAAATTATAACTGTATATTACTCTGCGTATCAGCTTGCTAAAATATCAATACATGCACATCTAAAATAAATAATTCCAAGGAATTCAAACTATTCTCTAAATTAGCACAAGAAAAAAAAAACTGGAAAGTAACATTCAAATTTTCAGATCAGCAAATAAAAGCACACTTTCTTCCTTAAGAAAAAGTCTTATCCATTGGTTTGAATACAGTTAATACTCAAACACAAAATAACAATATGTTACTTCCATGCAGAAAAACAACAATTTGCATTGCATCAGCCTTCTGATACAGATGCAAATTAAGTTAGGCAAGGCAAAGTGCATGTACTGTTCACCGAGCATTTAGATTAACTTAGTTTTAGTTATTAACAAAAATAATATGATTTTTATCACAATCTTTCTTTTGGTACTCAACTTGGTGTAAACTATTCAGAAACTTACAAATTGGATTATAAAAATCAGAATGTGTCATACTATGTTGGACAGTAATTCTAAGTATAAAAAAGAAAAGACAATTCAAAGAAAATGCACCATATGGAACACAATATGTTATAGAAACTAATCTATTAACAAAAGGTGATTTCTACTGAAAACAACTCTTCGCAGTTTTTTATTCTAATCAATGCTCTGAGTATTTGAAACTATAGTTTTTAGTACAACCAAAAAACCGGTTATATTGCTATTTGGGAAAAAAAAAAAAAAAAAAAAAAATTCTAAAGTATACCAATCACCTGTATTATAGCTTTTATTGCAGATTAGATTCGAGGCAAAATCCCTGCTTAATACAAGATTTCCAGACAAACCTGCCTGGCCATTCTGATATCATAATTTTAAGAGGTTGGAAATTTTAAGAGTTACGAGGTATCCTCTAACAAGAACATGTCCTTTTTTAAAAAAAATATTTACCTGATCCGCACACAACAAATATAAAAAAAGCAAGTAGTCCAGGTCCGACAGGATATTTATCATCTAGAGGTTTCTGCAACAAAGTATAAAAAAGCATGTTAAAAAAATAAAATCACTATTATCATCCAACATTGATCCTAACCCAAATATTTCTAGACATGTGTTGACCATTTAATTCTTTCAGCACAAATTACTCGCTTATTAATTAATCGTTTTGATGCGATTTTTATTAATTTTCGCCAGATCTTCTGCAAAATAAAATGTTACAACTTGTATGCTTGGAATTGATTCTCTTTTAAGAATTTCAATCACAAAATCGTACACGTGATGACAGTGCTTACAATCACAACAATATTTTAGAGCTCACCAGAATTGAAACTTATTAACTAGCAGCTGCCAAAATTACGTAGGCTTACAGCATTTCCTTTAAAAGTTATTCAACATAACCGCGAAAATCCCTTACACACAATCAAGGTATGGGAACACACGAAACGCCCCCCGACTTGACAGCTGTTAACCACATACTTACGGATGATTTCGGTACATTTCCGCGCATCGTAACATATTTGCTGGCTTTCTCGTTCGCGACACGCATTCTTTGCTTTGGTGCCATTTTCCTGTTGATTTCCTTAAGAAACCGAAACACAACCAAGAATTTCAACAAATATTGTTCCGAAGAACACAACAGACTTCCCCACTCACAGTAAGTGTTGACGTGAAAGAGCAAGGTTACAATTGCATTGGAGAAATACGCTCGGAGCAAACAAGAGAACATCTTGCGTGAAAAATAGTTCCCTATCATTGCTGCGATTGCCAATATTTACTAAAATAGTATAACTCAACAAAAAAATTTTGAATTGTTGAACTTTTTTAAATAATATATTCATTATTTATTTTGGACATAACGTGTATTTCTGAATTGCTGAGACACATTCCACGTATGAAGTAGCGTGACGTCACACATGAAGATCAGCGTGGCACTTATGAAATTCCACGTCACATGGTCCATCGTATAATAACGGGATTCGAATTCAGCGCTTCTTTCCAATTCTTAACATTTAAGAACCAACTTTTTCATCACAATGTTTTGAAAGAAAACTATTCATATCTTTACTTTTCTATTTAGATGATTCAATCTTCGACTTTATGCTGTTTGCACCTTTACTTTGATTTTCAGAAATGTAGCAAAATGCTTGTTTTAAAATAAAATATATTTCTTTAATTCAACAATAAACCACTGTTTCATTAAATGAAATACTTGAGGTATAATAAAAAATATTTCTTAAACTTCTTCCAAAGTGCAATGGTGTCACAAAGTCACAATGTGCAATGGTGCACAAGTGTGTCAAACTCAATCTAGGTATTACTCAAGGAGAAAGCAAGAAATGGCTTCATTGTAGCATACAGATTTTAATATTAATTTTCAATGTCAATTATCTTTGAAAATTTTGCGGCCGTTGTTAATAAAATGGCGCTTGAGCGCTTGAGTGAATTCGAAATTTGAAGCTCTTTCGCAGAAAATTTAGAAAACTTCATTTACAGACATTTAAAGCCCTTTAATGTACAACTACGATAGAGTTGATAAGTTCATGGTAATGTGCATACTAATGGCGTGTGAAATCTTTAAAAACAATACATTTGAGTAATTTTTGAAAAACAAAAAAAAATCCCCAAAATGAATTTTAAATAGTGCAATTAGAACTATCTGTTACAAAAGTTTGAAAAAAATTGGAACTGTTTTTGTGAAAATGATGTTTGAGCGTTTCTGAAAATGCGAAATTTTGAGCTAGTATTCACAGAAAACGGTTGAGTTACTCGAGAAACTTTATGGGACATTATTTACAGCACATGTACTCAAATATAATGTGAACAAATTGCCGCTAATATAAATATTAACGACGTGAGAGACAAGTCAAAGTTAAATTTTTGTAATTTTTGAAAAAACAAAAAAATAGAGCAAAGTGGCGTTTGTCTAATCTTATAGAGTGCATTAAGCTCTATCTCTCCCCAAAGTTTAAAGACAAAAATTAGAGCCGTTTTTGAGAAAATCTTGTTTTTGTATTTTTTTAAAATTGCACATATTACTCGCAAAATTGCGCGAAAACTATTTAAATTTTCAAAAAATGTACATGACCTTAATGAAAGAACTAATTATAGACAACAAATTTTATTGAAGGGAAAAATCTCGATCTTCAGTTTTGTTGTTATTGTAAGATGCCGGAAAAATTCAAATTTTCGAAAATTCAGAATTAACAGGGAAAATCGGACCTGTCACCTTTATAAGTGTATTTTACTCTATTCTTTCAAGAATTTTTGCCGTTTTTGAGAAAATGTTGAAAATGTTCTAGGGGCTTCATGTAAAGTACCCCCGAATTTTAAAGAAAATTTTTTAAAAACTCAAAGTTACGACGCGAGAAAGATAGACAGGTGTTTCATCAATTTGGAAAAAAATCCTACGCATGGGTTTAGGCGCTAGTGGTGTTCACAGACGGACGGAAGGACAGACAGACCGACGTTTTGAAAATAACCACTTTTTCGGTATCAAGGGACCCCAACACGTGTATTTCCATTGAAATCTCGAATTCGATTTTCAGCAGCATTACATAACTTTCCCTACACTACATATATTACTCCGTATATACGTGCGTATACGGAAAAGTAAAAACAGAAAACTACTTACAATGCATCATGTCGCCACTCTCCACCTGACGTCCATAGACTTTATAGGTCACGTAAAGAAGAGGCTTCTTACAAACTGAAGTGTACTGGCACAATGCAATAGTCGGGGTGGGAAAGTATGTAGCCAGTCATCAAGATGACCCACTAATGAGGCAGGTCGTTAAATCTGACCGATGAATGGTAAATAGAGGCATTGTAAGTAGTTTTCTGTTTTTACTTTTCCGTATAGCTAGCGGCTAAACCATTCCGCCAATTTTCTCCAAAATTGAAATTCCCAATCCATCTGGCTAATGCCACGGCCCCTGGAATTTGAAACCGATATTTTAATTTCTGGGTTTATTTTACATGAATTCCCTGGGACTTTTTCAAATTAAAAAAAGACCCATCCTTTTTTTTTAATTTTATTCATTTATTTATTTATTTTGATAGTGTGAATGACGTTTAAGAGAATGGTGCAGGTTTCATGTTCGTTGAAAACTCTGACTTTTCGAAAATTAAAAAAGTTCAACATTATTTCGGAGTCCTCCTGCAACTAAAATATTAAAGCTAGAGATTTTTTCCTTTAATGAAATCTGTTTCTTAAAGGTAGATTTTGAAATAAGATCATGAAATTGTATTTGAAAATTGGTGTTCTTTCGGCGTAATTTTGCGTGAAAATACAAGCGAGAAAGAACGTGTTGTTTTAGCAGCATTAGTTACTTAAATGTTTCGTCAGAAGTAAAAATTAATGGTCCCTGAAAAATCTGTGGGGAATTGAATTTCCCTTATCCCCCCTCCGTGAATGCGCGCCTGGTGCAAGACATTCTTTGCTTTATTTAGAACAGCCTACATTTTGCGCAAAACATTGTAGAGACACCGACAATCCCTAGATCTGCTCCTTAGGACACTAGTTGCAACATGGAGTAGATTTTATATTCAATTTACTCATAATATCTTTGGGCGTGAAGTAGAGGATGAATACTTGATCATTCATTACAGGTAAATTCAGTCAGACGACTTAAATAAGAAATGTTTCAAAAATATTTCTTGTTCTTGCTTTGCATTGTATGTTAGTTAAGAAAATTAAGTTGCATTTCACATAATCTCATATCGGCATATTATAATCCTTTTATCTATATCTGTATTTCACTAACTCTATCACTTTATCTTGTTGCACATCCATTGTGCTGTTTGAATGTTTTTGTGTCGTATACGACGTAATTGATCGAATTTTTTTCGACATCATCATCATAATCTCCTTCTTCCCCCTGTTTTTCTTATTCTTTGTCTTCTCCTTCGTCGTCTTCTTCGTCGTCGTCGTCTTCTTCTTTGTCGTCGTCGACGTCTTCTTCTTTGAAAATTTCGGATTTTGAAGGAAATATTTATTTTTCTACTCGTCTGTGTGTAAACAGCACAAACAAACAAACAAACAGCACTGTGCCTAAACCTTAAACCGTATTAGAAATTTCTTGAGCTGTAAGAAAAGAGGGGAATTAGTGGGAGGCGAGAACCGGATATAGGATGGGCGGTAAAACACCTCCCAGCGAAACTGCTGTGAGACGTGTTGTGAGTCGAGCCATGTGTGGGAGATAACACCTGTACTGAGCATTCCGCATCACTAGTTCTGAATGGCCCTCGCAAATTCCTGTCCGGTCGGCACTACGTGTATTACAGTGACGCAGAGTTGTAAGTTAAGATAAATTTATTTAAACTGCAAATGGGTATAACCCGGTGGCAGCTACTTACATAAATAAGATAATATAGCTAACACGATAATTATATAATAATAATAATAATAACAATAATAATAATAATAATAATAATAATAATATAAAAACTGGCTGATTCATAAAATATAAAATTACCTTAAGAAAAAGAAACTTCTATTATCTAACTCCGCATTGAATGTTTGTTCAGTTAAGACCACACAGTGGCACTGCACTGCACTTCACTTCACTTTAGTATGACCTTTAAATCACTTCATTATTACTCTGCTCTACACTGCACGACACCTCCCTTCACAATATATCACTTATGTATTGCTCTGCAACCTACTATTCTTAGTTAAGTCCCTCAGTTAATTAGAAATACCCAAAATTAATTTCCTAAACTGTTGAACGCTTCGAAGAAAGGGTTCAAAGGTTTTTGTAGGCAAATTTATTCCATTCTGTTGTCGTTCGATTTGAGAAAGAAAAAAATGGCTCTAATGCATTAGTACCAATCCCAGGCGGCAGACATCTACGACACAGATGTCGTAGAAGTGTACACGTGTAGGCCACGTGCTAGAGGAAGTAATTTACTACATATGAACATCATTTATCCACTTCTTTGTTACCAAGGCCCGACAATAAGAGTTTTGCTGCAGATAATTTTCCGTTTTTCTGCACACGATAACACTTTCTATTTTGACAAAGTAATGGCCACAGAATGGCACAGACTTTCTCGAACTAGTTAATTTTCTAATTTATTTGGCCTGGGCTAGCTTTTCGGACATAGCACATGCTGCCATCTATCTGCCGTTCAAAGTACATTTTTTACAATTTTTCTCAATTTTTCAGTTTCCTAATAGTAGAACAGTAATATTATACTAAAAAATGGAAGAGTAAAACCTCCACATAGAGGGAAATTTTCGTTGAAATCTTTAGAACTGTTTTTAGGAAAATTGCGTTTGTACGTTCCTGTAAATGAGAATTTGAAGCCCTTTTTCACAAAAATCTTTTGAGGTTTCGAAAAACTTTATAGGACGTCAATTGAAGTACATCCATTCACAAATGCAATAACGTACACACATTTCTGGAAATTTGCCTATTAAAGAGGTGACATTGCAGAATATTGTATTTGAGTAATTTTTAGAAAAATCTAAAGAATATAGCAAAATAACTATTGTATCATAAACAGTGCAATTAACAATATGCTTATAAAAAGTTTGAGGAAAACATTTAGAGCTGCTTTCGAGAAAATGACGTTTGAGAGTTTCTGAAAATATGGTTTTTTGAGGATATGAACCCAAAAAACTAATGAGTTTTCGAGAAACTTTATATGGTATCGATTAAAGGATATGTACTCATAAATGGCATAATGTGAACAAATCGCTGTTAATGTGTAAATATTATTAACGACGATAGAGACAAGTAAAACTAGTAGTGCCATAGAATGGCATAGACTTTCCCGTATTACTTTTCTATTCCCTTTGGTCTGGGCTAGCAATTTTGACTTACCAAATACTCTTGCCAGCTGCCAACTATCGCCGCCATTTTTTTAATGTTCTCAATTTTTCTGTTTCCTAAGTGTAGAACTGAAATATTATTTTATGAATATTAACCTAATATTATTTTAAGAATATTAAAGTAAAACCTTGTCTTAAACGGCAATTTTCATTGAAAAATTTGCAGACGTTTTTAAGAAAATAGCGTTTAAGCGCTACTGTAAATTCGAAATTTGAAGCTCCATTTCACAGAAAGTTTCTGAGTTTTCGAATCTTTTCAATATTTAGCGGATTTTGGAACTCTGTCAGACGTAATTTCATTCGTGAATAGTCCCATTGACGTGCTAAGGAAATTCTCTGATAAATCCACTCGTCGCTTCGCGAGTCGGGGATTTATCGACATTTTGGAAACGTCGCATTACCTACGAGAAAGTGCACATTTTTTTCTGAGCGGTTCAAGAACTATATATTACAATTATATTATCATAAACACAATTATATGTACTTAATTTACTACGAATTAAATTAGTGGTGGTACAAAATAACAAATACTTTCTCGAACTATTTGTAACGGTTAAAATACTCAAATTTTACTCGCTCGCTACCGCGGTATAGAAAAAGTTATGTAATGCTGCGCGAAAATCGGCAGAAAAACACTTATTACAGGGCCCTGGTAACGAAAAAGTGGATACATCCAGTTGCGAAATTTAGAAAAACATCCTCCATCACGTGGTGTAACCAGAATCCGTTTTGTGGGTCCCTTATATCGAAAAATCGATTGACGGCAAAACGTCTGTCGGTCTGTCTGAACAATGCTAGCGGCTAAACCGTTCAGTCGATTTTCTCCAAAATTAATATTCCCCAAACGATCTTGGCTGATGTCGCGGCTCCTTGAATTCGAAATTGATATTTTAATTTTTTTTGAGGGGGCGGGACTTTGCATGAAACTCCCGGGACGTTTTCAAAATGTTCAAAACAATATCTCCAACTTTTTTGATTAACATTTTGTTATTAGGTAATGAGAAGGACGATTAAGAGAATGGTGTGGATCTCAAGTTCGTTGAAAACTCTGATTTCTCATAAATTCAAAAAAGTCTAGTTTTTCGGCGTCAACCTACAATTACAATTTTGATTTTTTTTTAAATGAAATGTGTTCATGAAGGAGATCTAAAAATAATGTCATGTTCAATTTTCCAAACACATCAGTGTTTTTTGCGAATTTGTGTGTAGGCAATTTTCAAACATTTTTCATTTGCTGCCGGAATTACAAAACTCTAAATATTACTCAGTTTGAAATACTTCATCTCTCGCACCCTTCAATATTTTTCTTGAAGTCACAAACCATTTCTATTTCTTAAACAAAAAAATCACAACTTCTATTTCTTAAACTAATGGTCCTACAACAGCAGAAACGTTCTCACATTATTTCAAAATTTACAATTTTCGAAAATTCAGAGTACAATCAAAATGAGAAATGCCCTATTTTTTAAGCGTTTTTTTTATCCGAGGAATAAATTTAAAGGAAAACGCTAGTTTTTTGTTGAGAAAATGTGTTTTTTATAAGTTGTATTAATTTCAATCACAAAATAACGGGAAAACTGATGCTTTTTTTATATATTTTTTAATTGTTCATGTCCTTTTTTAGAGAGCTGGTGTTTTATATTAGCTTTTAAGACGATTTGCAGGTTTGAAATGCAGCTTTGAAATGTTAACTTTTCGAAAATACAAAGAGTTCACCGGAAATGAGACTATCATAATTTTTTACCGTCTTTCAATATACCCGAAGAAAAAATTTAAGATAAAATTTGGAACAGTTTTTGAGAAAATAATTATTTTTAAAAAAATACCTTTATTTCACACAAACTACTTCATAATGAATAAGAGTTTTATTAATAAATTAAATTAATAAGAGTTTTTCGGCCGAAAATTCGCTGTTTTTTGCGCAGGATAACATAACTTTCTCTCTACTCGGTTGGGAGAAAGAAAAAGCGGAAATTGGATAGAAAAAGCAATAATTTCTTTACGATACACCGCCCTGATGTGGGTATTTTTTATGTATAGTTAAACATTACTTGTTTTAATTTCACGAGTGGAATAGTCATAATAATCTACCACGGGGGCAGTCGATGAGTGTCGTAAACTATTACAGTAGTAGTAGATGGATATCTAGGTATTGAGGCGCGGCCATGGCAAGTATAGAATTTGCACCATTGTCAGGTTACTTCAAATTAGGGCAGTTATTTGTTTTTGCGGGTATACTCTAAATACTCGTAGCACCCCTTGTGAGTGGCGCTCATGGCACGTGCCATGTCTGCCGTACCGTTGTACGCCTCTGGGAGAAGCAAAGCGTCATCAGCTCTCCACGAGGCCGGAGAATCTTATCCAGGCGGTCAAGGTCATGGTCGCACGATGTGAATAACCTGTCTACTCAGCGCGACTGATTGGAAGCTCCTCGTGCGAACTCTCAGAGGACTGGAAGTGTTCGTCGACAGTTCCTCTCAGATAGAAGAGACAAACGAATTGGTGGTGCCGCGTGTCGTGGACATGGCTCAAACAATTAGCAACGGTTATGTAAAATGATAATTAATATTTTGCAAATTATGTTCTTACTACATCTAATATTTCAACTACTCAGGAGAAAAATTATCTTCATTTAACTAATTGAATTAAAACAGTACACCAAAATTAATATTATTGTTGCAAAAAGAGACATAATAAGCTTAGCAAGAGTTAATGTATTTATCTCAATGACGTTCAACAGCATTAGTTCGATAGGTACAATGTTTCTAAGTTTCTTTACCTTTTAAACCCATTATCCTTGCACTTATTAAGAGACAATTTCTAAAAAGTAACTGACTTCACAGAAAAACTTATAGAATAGAATATTAACAAATCTTACAAAAATAATGGTTTAGTATTATTTCCTGTAATACCTATAATGGATATCTACACTGAGTTATATCGAAACTAATGTTGCTACAAAATGCCTCGAACTTTTTCTCGCACTACCTTTTCGGAACTAGTGGTGTTACAACAACATGTAGTACATTCTCACATTCTTTCAAATTCGGTGGTCAACGAAAACGTGGACTGCGCGCCATATCTTAAAATGTCCATGAAATAAAATCATTGGGGAAAAAATTTAAAGAAAATGAGTTTTTCTGGCGATAATTCCCCGTTTTCCGGCGTACGATTACATATTTGTAACTTTTTCTTCTAACAAAGTTCCTAAAAATTGAGGGTGGTTTTGAGAGAAAAAAATGCATTAAGTTCAAACAGAATTAACGCAAAACTACAGAATTTTTAGAACAAATTTCATTTAACACAAAAATATCCAACTTAAATTGTGTTATTTTGCAATGTTCACTTTTTGCAATTTTCGAAAATACAGAGAATTTGTCGAAAATTTGACTAGCGTCAATTTTTCTTACTGTTCTTTGATGAAAAACGAGGATACGAGGAGAAATGTAAAGAAACAAGTTGTGTTACAGATGGCACCGAATTTCTCGCACTGGTTTTCTAATGACTTTAGTCTACGATAGATTTTCGTTATTGCTCCACCCTCTTCCCAGTTGCGACCTATCGGTGCCAAAACATTTTTTCACACAATCTCAATTTGTCGGTCCCCTAATAGTAAAATTGCAATATGTCTTCAAGAATATTACAAAAAAGTAAAACAGTTCTATAAGCAATATTCCATTGAAAATTTCGAGCCATTATTGAGAAAATGTCGTTTGTGCGCTTCTGAAAATGCGCAATTTTAACTCACTTTCACAGAAACGTTTTGAGCTTTCGAGAAACTTCATAAGAAAACATTAGAGGCACTTATGTTTACAATACAATAATGTATATAAAATGTCCGTAATGTGAAAGTTAACGACGCGAGAGATATTTCAAAAAATTACATTTGTTTAGTTTTTGATTAATGAAAAGAATATATCAAACGGCTTATTTGTCATGAAATTCGACGTATTTAGCATTAACCGTACAAAAATTTTGAAAATTTTCTAGCAGTTTTTTGAGTAAATTACTCTTTAGCATTTCTTAGTATGCGCAATTTCAAAACAAATTTTAACTGAAAATATTTGAATGTTCGAGAAACTTCATAAAAAAACATTGCTCTTGTACTCACAAATTCAATAATGTATAAAAATACCTGTAATGTAAATATTAACGACGTGGGTGATATACAAAAATTATATTTCTATATTTTCTTTTTAAATCTAAAGAATACATCAAAATGACGATAATGTCATGTTATTCAGTGCATTTAGCACTATCCACACAAACATGTTACACAAAAAATTTGAACCGCTTTGAGAAAATCGTGTATTTAAAATTGCCCTATTTCAAGCAAAATTGCTGAAAACTTTATCTTGAAAAATATGTCCTCATTTAAAGATCTAATTTTCAAGAATAGATTTTATTCAGAGGAAAAATAACTATCATATTTAATACTGTAGTTGTCGGAGGATGGCGAAAAAATTGAACTTCCGCAATTTTTCCAAAAATCAAATATTTTAAGGAAACTTCATTCACCATTTTACGCCATACGAGGACGACGTTTATTTTAAGAAACTGAAGCAATTTTTGGTCAAAATTATAAAATGTTCTTGAGACTTCATGTTAAGTACCCCCAAAAATTAAAATATCAGTTTTAAATTCAAGGAGACGAGACATCAGCGAAATCGATGAAGGAATATCAATTACGATAAAAATTATGCCTTCGGTTTAGCGGTTAGCGTTGTTCTCAGACGTTTTGTGGTAAACCATATTTCCGGTGTAAAGAACCCACAAATCGTGAATTCTGACTACGTGTTAGTGGAAGTAATTTATTTCACAAAAGAATAAGATTTTTCCTATTTGTCGTCACCAGGGACCGCAATAAGAGATTTTCTGCCAAAAACCGGTTTTTTGCTGCAGCATTACATAACTTCATCTATACTACGTATGTACTGTGCGCGAAATGAAAATTTGACTGAGAAAATAATTGTTTAAAAATTGCCAATATTTCATGCAAAATTATGTGAAATCGACTCAGATTTTCAAAAAATTGTTCAGGACCTTATTTCAAGATGTCTTTGTAAAATAGATTTCATTAAGGAAAATGTATCTACCTTCAATATTGTAGTTGTAAAAGACGCCAAAAAAATTGAAATTTCCGAAATAGCGTAATTTCAACGAAAATAAGGCCCGCGCCATTCTTTTACACGTTCTGTGCGCCATCCGAGGACAAAATTGAAACCAAAGGTTTGAAACCATTTTTGAGAAAATTTTCAAAACTTTCTCGAGGCTTTATTAAAGTACCTACGTCATATAAATGAAAATATCCCTTTGAAACCTGGGGTTTGTTCAGATTGACTAGGGTTTGTCAATATTGGAGAAAATCGTCTGAAGGATTTAGAGCTAGATTAGTCCACAGACAGGCCAACAGACGTTTTGCCATCTATTAATTTTTTCGGTACAAACCACAAAACATGTATTCATCCTACAAAACGTAATAGAAAATGTAATTTATTACACACACTTGTACGAACTAGTTTTATCCATTTCTGCATTACGATGGCCTAGAAATAAGAGTATTTCTGTCGAAGATTCGGCGCACGATTACAATAGTTTTTCTGCTTACAAAGGCGAGGAAGTAAAGCGTTGGAGATACAAAATGCCACAGTCGTTCTCATAGTAGTTAATTTCCTCATCACCCCAGTCTAGGCTATTTTTTCGGTTTTGCAACACACTCTTCTTCGCTTCCATCTACTGAGATTTTTTTCACAATCTCTGAATTTTTCGGATAAGTAGAAACGAAATATGGCCTAAAGAAAGTTATAGAATGGTAAAATCTGGTCTGAAAAATATATTTACATTAAACGTTTTTGAGCCGTTTTGAAGATGTCGCTTGAGCGCATCGGAAAATATGCATTTCAAAGCCAATTTGCACCAAAAACTTTTGAATTTTCGAGAAACTTTATTGGAAATCATTTGAAGTAATTTAACTTGCAAATGCAATAATGCGTAAGGAATGCCTATAATGTAAATATTAACGCCGTGAAATATATTTAAAAAAATACATGTGTATTTTTTTAAAAAACAAAAGAAAACATCAAAATCCACACAAAAAATTGAAAGAGAAAACTTGGAGCCGTTTTCGAGCCAATGCCGTTAGAGCGATTCTCAAAATGCGGAATTTGGAGCTCATATTTACAGAAACTTTGAGTTTCAAAGAAACTTTATAAGACATCCTTTTAAGTACCAGCACTCATAAATGAGATACAGTATACATATCGCCGATAATGTAAATATCAACAACGCGAGATGTAAAAAAATGACAATTGTGTATTTCATGAAACTAGTGCTAAAATAGCAAATTCTTTCTCGCCCGTACTTTCACGCACTTACGTAAAAAGTAGTCAAATTTCAAAATATTGTACATGACCTTACTTCAAAATCTACTTTTAAGAAACAGATTTCGTTAATGAAAAAAAATTCGATCTTCAAAATTGTAGTTGTAGGAAGACTCCGAAAAAAAATTTGAATTTTTACAATTTTCGAAAAATTAGTTTTTAACGAAAATGAGACCTGCACAATTGTTTTAGTGTGAATGTCCTTCACACTACCCAACAACAAAATTTAATCAGAAACGATGGGGCCATTTTTTTTAATGTTTCAGTGGCTTTGTGTAAAGCACCCCCAAAATTAAAATATCCATTTCAAATTCAAGCGGCCGTGACATCAACCCCATTGAGGAATAACAATTTTGAAGAAAATCGGTTGAACGATAGGTTAGCCACTAGCTCTGTTCACAGACAGATGGACACGTTTTGCCGCCAATTGATTTTTCAGTAACAAGGACTAACAAAACAAGGATTCTGGCTACACCACGTGTTAGAGGATTTCCCCCTCTTATATTTCAGCTCCCCATAGAGTGGAGAGCAAATGAACATAAGGGAAATCTAGCTAACTATTTCTTCACCTACACCCAGCTGTCATTGCTGCCATTGGATCTCATCTTTTCTCGGGTAGACTTGTGACTCTTCTCCGAAGGTAGAGAATTGCCGGAGTTGTGTGCCAATGTGCACTCATGGCTGTTGAAAGTACAGAGAGGACCCGACTTGTCTTTGGCATTTGCTTAATTAAGGGAAAGATCTTCATAGAGGCATGGTACAGTAATCTTTGAATTCCTGGCCAGTGGTGAAGAATATTATATACATTACCCATTTGCTTACAACGGCTCATCACAAGGGTGTAGATGTAATTATACACGAGGGACTCAGAATGCCAAATTTGCCACAAACAAATTAAAACACCCTTGCACATGTTTTGAACACACAATCTTAGTGTTCTTGAACTTATGTTTTACAGTGCTTATTTGTAATGATATGGTTTCATTACATAATATTAATTTGATAAAACTAGTAATATAACTGAAATCGACCTTTTAATGCATAAGCAGCCTTAGTGAGCTATGAAACAATGAATCTATGAAACTGAGTCACATTGACACATTTTTTACCACAGCAAAATAACAAATAAGTTACGTTTGTTACAGGTTCGAAATTAAGTTACCAATAAAATATAAATACATTATGAAATACATTCTTTTACTGTTTGACCTGTTGCCATTGACAATGGTCAGGTAATATGCTTCTCAATCCAAGAATTAACTGACTGAAGAAGACTATTATGGCACAAATGTTATTTACATTAGCTGAATGTTTTACATTTAAAAAAAAACATACATGTATCAAAATAAATTAAAAGTTTATTTTAGAAGATGAGATCAATAAAATTACAAAAGAGGTATCACAGTTTATGACTTCTAATATATTTCAATTTATGTTTAGTATATTAACTTCATAATTTATACAAATAAATATCTGTATAAAAATAATACTATTTCTTTTTAATTTATTGACTGATTGTTAACTATCAACATCAAAAGACAATTCTTCTGGCACCATCTGAAGAAATATTACAGCATTACAATTATTTGCATCCAGCATACTCAAATCAACATCATGAATTTCAATGTCCTTATCTAATTGCCTCTGAATTCCAATATTTTCATTGGGAAGATTGGTATCATCACCAATTTTATGAGATTCTTTCTTCACAATCTCAGATGTTTTTGAACCTTTCTTCAGCCTTGAATGGAATGTTCTGTCATGAACCTGAAAACGTGATTTCTTAATAAGTAAATAATTCTATTTATAATCAACATATCACTGAATAGAAAATGACATGAACCTGAAGAGTTGCTTCACTTGTGAATCGTCGGGGGCATTTTGGGCACTGAACGTAAGTGTCTCTTTTCTTGTGGCATTGCATATGGGCTTTTAAATATACTCCAAGAGCAAAAGATTTTTCACACAATTCACATTTATATGGCTTAAGTCCTAAAAATATCATTTAATTAATTCAAAGAAGAGATTGAACAAGTTAAATAAGTCATGATAGTTTATTTCACACTAACCTGTATGCAAAGTTTTATGCTGTTTCAATTGTGATTTCAATTTAAAACTTTTATTGCATATACTACAGATATGCTTTGGACATGAATTGCTGTCGGAATGAGTTAGTAAATGCCCATTTCTAAGTTGATCCAAGCGTCCAAACATTTTTCCACAAATGGGACATTCATACCTAAAATACACAATTAATTTACTAATTACAATATGTTAATATTAAGTAAATATGTAGCATTAAAAATACACTCACTTTTTTTCACCAGAGTGGATCACCTTGTGACGATTTAATTCTCTTTGTCTAATAAATTTACGCCCACATTCTTCACATTCGAAAGGTCTTTCCCCTAAATGCATCCGTTTATGGTCAAGAACATCTTTCCTGTACCTACAAATTTAAGAAACACACAGGATACACAAAATTGGCAAATAAAAAAAATTAAAATGTCATATAGTTGGAGAAAATTTAAATTAACTACTCTGTAAATATTTGTTTTTTAAATTTTAGACTTCTTTACCAGGTTGGTTTGACAGAGCAAATGACATCAAACTCAAGCAAATAAGGAAGCAAATGAGTTCTTAACAAATGTCCTTAATACAAAATTTTGAAATGATTTTTCTGATACACTAAATCATCAATAATATTATGAAAACCAAAACTAAAACCACATGGTCAGTAAAATAAACAAAACTCAGCCGACTACATTGACAAAACAAATATGAACTATTACTTCTATAAATAATGAGGTGTCAAAACATCTAAAATCAGTTTTCTATATGCAATATTACAACCAAAAGAAAGCCATTCAAAATAAAACTAAACTTCATTCTACATTTAACATTCATTAGGATTTACTGAAATTTCACATCAAACAGTAATGTTTTTATTATGATTTATTATAAACTTCTTTCTTCAATATAAGCAATTGTATTGATCTCATTCTCAACAAGCAAAAGAGAGATTTGTAGCTAAGATGGCACAGACAGAGAAAATAATCACAAATATGCTCACCTAAGTTGTTTCCCACAATCTTCACATTGGTACGGACGCTCACCTGTGTGAGTCATCATATGTGTCTTAAGGTTGAACCTCTCAGAGAAGCGCTTGGCACAGTCTGGGCAACCAAACTCTTTGCTACCTAGAGAGAATTTAAAGTGATTCATTATTTCTCATTAAACAATAAGAGATTCTAACCCTTTTCTACAATGTTTTTACCCATTATTAATAATTAAAAAAAAAATTAAAAACACCATCAACAACAATTCATTTAAAGAATGCTATTTTTCTCAGTAATATTGACAATAAAGATGTTTAAGCATCAGTAAACAATGGTCACCTCTAGACTTTTACTCTAGGTGAAATGTGTTACGTTACATAGTCACTATCACATAAGCTTGACTACATAAATTCTAGAAGAAAATATGTTAAATTAATGCGATGGTCAAGAAGCATCATTATTGATTTTTGTAGTACTGTCTGAATGCCACATGAGTGAAAAGTGTCCATTCAAATGGTCAAGGTAGTTCACTAACTTCACACTTCATTTTGACGGGCCACAGATTTTAATTATTTCATGGACAGAATTGGGTCCTTGATCTTTCCTGAGATAGTCTAGAAAATAATATTACATACATCAAAGTTAATACAACAACAACAATTGGAACTATTATTTGGAAGCCACAGCGTCTTTAATTTCTCGATATTCAGCAGTGAGTTGTTGAGTAGAAGCAACCCTTAAAAATGTAGGTATGTTGTATGTTTTTAACGTGGATCAAACTTTATTCTGTATAATACCTTAACAAAGAACCAATCTTTATTCTTATTTAAATTCACAGTCAATCGATAAAATCTACTGCTGCCCAGAATGCTATAAACTTTTGTGGTCAATTTATTTGCCACCAAGCAATAGCATTGGCTCATGATCGTTTATAATTTTATTCACATATTGGTACAGACAATCACTAACTGTTCAAAGTGCCTGGATCTGTTAGAAGAACCTAATTCCAGTGATTCAGATAGTGATTCAAACCACCAGATTGTCATACAACCACCACTAGAACCAAAAGGAGCCGACATAGACATAGTTTCTTATCTCTCGGATGACAGTTACAGTGAACTTCGATCATTTCCAACTCGTTTTTCAAGTTCTGGAGGAAGTTTATCTCGTATTTAGTGGATTATGAGGATGATATATCTTTGAATGTATTTTTAAGTGTACCAGTGCCAGAACGATTACCTCAATAATTTTATACAAAAAAATGGCTAGATATAAATTCTAAATTTACTGTTGCAAATATCAAGAAACTTTTAAACCAGACTCAGAGGATTTATTGAAAGAGATGGTTAGAGATAAAATTCATGCTTTTTCAATCTATTTCACAGAAAGTTTCAACATCTAGTTCTTTAGACTAATTTATATGTATTTCAGAAAGGGAATCATTCCTCAAACATTACAACAGATGAAATGCTTTGTTTTGTAGGTAACTTGCTATTTTCTGCAACAATGACTTTTATTTAGGTGTCTTGGGAATGATATGCCTCTCTTCCAGTTCCAGCTTGTCATACTATCACTTCCACAGACCTATGGGACACCAAAGCGTAGACCAAGGCCAAGCGCTCCTCCGTTGTTCGCATCCATTGCCGTCAGTGCACTCGATAGAAGAGATCATGTTCTAATCTAAGGAGATCAGGCTTTTAAAAGATGCACGGTATGTTGCTTTTAATAGCTATCTTGCAAGAACTGTAAGATAGCTTCCATACCAAGAGTTTTGAAACCTTCCATTCGTAAATATCTTACTTGCAGAGTAAACATTCAAAAGAAATTTTGTAAAGTCACAAGTTTTAATTTTCTATAATCACATAATAATTATAAAATTTCTGAATAAATAATAAAAACTGAAAAAAATGTAAATATATTGTCTAAACTACAAGTATAATCAACTGGAAAAGAATGAAAGCATTTAAAAAAAAAATGTAAGTGGCAATCGAATTTTACATGTAAGTGCTTGATGGCAAAAAAAACTGACCATTCATTATCTATAAATCGAGAAGTAAACAATGAAAAATTCACAATCAAGTGTTAATTTTGAACTAACTATAATACTTTGCAGTTGAAAAAAACTTCATTTGAAGAAAAAATGTCTGAGCATTAACGGGAAGACCCAATGACTAATAATATTACAGTACAACAGTTCACACAAAATATTTGGTAAAGTTTTCTCATTTGATTCAATATTTTTTGCAGTAGACAGACATTTTACTTTCTTGCCTACCACTTACACAGTACAGAAAATAGATTGTAATGCTATGAGAAAAAACTCTATTACCAGGTCCTGGTATAAAAAAAAATTGGTAAATCGGGTCCCTATATGTAGAAAATTACCACCTCTAACATGTTATATAGTCAGAATCCACATTTGGCGGGCTGTTGATACCCAAAAGTAGAATGACAGCAAAACGTGTCTGTCCATCTGTCTGAGACCAACCCTATTGGCTAAACCATACACAGAATTTTCACCAAAATTGATATTCCCCAATCGATCTAACTGGTCACAGTCCCTTGAATTAGAAACAGATATTTTTATTTTTGGCAGTTCTTTACATGAAGCCTTTTCAAAATTTTCTCAAATATGGCTCCAAATTTTTACTTTAAATTGTTTCCTAGATAGAGCAAAAGATGCATAAACAATTGGTATATGTTAAATTTTTATTGCAGTCCCTGAATTTTCAAAAATTATTAATGTTAACATTTTTTTCGGCATCTTCCTAAGTTACAATAATGAATAGAAATGTTTTCTTTCATGAAATCTGTTCATCAAAACAGATCTTAAATAAGATCAAGTTTAATTTTTCGAAAATCTGAGAATGTTTTGCACAATTTTGCTTTAAGCGGGCAATTTTAAAACAATTATTTTCCCAAAAGCAGCTACAATTTTTTTCTCTAAATATAGCAAAAAATGGAAAAGGAAGTGGTGCTGTCGCTTTTTCAGGGCACACTAAATTTTCGTTAACTTTATAAAAAAAAAAATTTAAAAAAATTTAAAAAAAAAAGGGGCAAAAGTACAATATTGATGGCAATTTTTATTAAATGAAATCAGTTTTTTAAAAAAGGTTATATAAAATTTTCTAAACAACATGAGTAGTTGAGCATAATTTTGCAAATTGTCCAAATTTCAAATTTGAATTTCCCACACTTCTTGTACTAGAATCGTTCAGAAGTCATTTCATTATAACGAGTTATTTAGTTAATTGGGAGGCATTTAATTAGTAATTATTCATTTAATATTTAATTAGTAGATTCACTTGAGTTGTATATTTTTTATATAATATTTCACGCGGGATTGCCAAACAATGTGAATGATACAAGGGAGTTTGAAATTTTTGGAATAACTTCTTGTAGTAGGCAACACAGATAGCGTAGGGATATGATAAGGAGGCTATACAGTATTTATTTAACATTAATTTTACAATGTCTCTATGTTCAACTATATTTAAGTTGGGAAGAATTTGAATATAAATATACATATGCATTCATCATCATCATCATCATCATCATGATCTGTAGGTGTTTAGGCTTAACAGCCTATTCCATTATTTATGTAGTATTCCTGGTAGTTAGTCTTCCAGGTGTTCCTGCCGTTGCCACTTCTTTCATGGTCTTCCAACGTCTCTGGTCCCTGCTGGTTGATATTTCCACGTAGTTTTGGTCATTTGTTATTGTTCATTCTCTTAAAGTGATCTTGTTATTTCCTTTAAGAGTTTTCTATTTCCTCCACTAAGTCTTCAGTTTCTTTCTTATGTCTTTGTTTCTTAGTCTGTCCCTCCTCCAACAAGGTGTCTCAGAAATCTCGAATGTGCTGCACATATGCATCCATGGTGCGATATTTTGGATGGCCTTCAGTTCTGGATGTTTAATTTTACACATGAAATTATCCAGGCTTGTCTGTATAAAGTGCAACACATATGTAATATTTAAGATTTATTTATGGTTTCTTTGGTAAGAGTATGAACAGGCTACTGATACTATCGAAAAATTGCAGATATGCATCACACAAGTTCTTTTAGTTCTTTTTTATTTTTAATTTTGGAGTTGGGACTTTTTAATGTGAAGGCTGAAGCAAGGGCAGAAAATGCAAAATTATATTACTTAACTACTCCCAATAAAATAATGCAAGAATCTATGTGATGTAGTATGCTCTAGAAAAAACTTCCAAAGGATTTCTTACCTAGTGCCATCCTACTTTTTTGTAGCACAATTCCTAATTCTTGTTAAAAAAACTTCTCAGATATTTAAGACCTGACTTGCTCTCTATTCCTTATGAATTCTTTCATTAAAAATTAAATTTAGAACAAGCAAAAGGAGAAAGGGAGTCAGAATTATCTAGATTTGTGTTTCACTGTATCATGACAGCGCTCACAGGTATCTTTGGACAGTCTGAATTTACTGAGCTTGGCTGGGTCTGTAGCATAGTAGTTATGCTCCATACCCAGCCACGAGTAGTAACAGCCATGAGAAGAAAGGTTTGTGGATTCAAATCAAGGGGTATGGCTGTTAGCTGTAATGTTGAAGTAGTACAGAGCCTACCCACAAACAATTTCACACATTCATAACAATATTCCTTCCAAATCCTCTCTCAGCCAGAAAATTTGAATGTGGAATACATAAGACAGTGTGCATGCCAGGGGAGCTCCAGAATGGGCATAAGGACCACTATGAGAGTGCCACCTGGCAGCCACCAAACATACCTACCAGTAACAAGGTTCAAGCACCACCATGGGCTTAAGAGCCACTAGCAGGATACAGTTCTTGGCCCCGATTACATGAGCCACAGCAGGGTTAAGGAGTGAAGGTTAAGGTCAAGTTTACCTAGAGGGTAAAACAGCAGTGGAATAATTACACATAGGGCCAGGAGCATTGGCTGATAACAGAAAGGTTAAGCAGATCACAGGAAGGTTAAATGGTCAATGATGATAACAATGATACATCTTATGCTTGACAAAACAACTTTCCTCTTTGTACATTTAAAAACTATCCTCAGTACAGGTAAATGCATTCCCGATCTGGTCAATCACAATTCCGTTTGTACTTGCAATATTAACTAATGACTGCCGTTTATCATTCTTTCTAATAACATTCTTATATGTCCCAAGCAAGTCCCACAAAACAATCTACTGTAAATTTTTAACTACTTCTTACATTTTCTCAAAACAAAATTTCAAATTGTTTAATTGACTAGAAAAGTTTGTTGAAGAGAATGATAAAACTTACTGCCTGAGCTCTCTCTACTTTCTTCACACTTTTCTAAAATCAACATAATCATGTTTTTGTTACTACCTTTTTCATCTTCACATATATCATGCTTCTTTCTTTTGGGTTCTTCCATAAGGCATCACCCTTCAAATTTCATCCCCCCCCCACTTTTCTGTGGTTAGATATAATGTTTTCATCTAACAATTTTTTTATTATTTCCATCTTTTGAAAGACACAATTTACAATCACTAGGCATTGAACCAAGAGTTCACTCAGCCTCGTTCATGTGACAAAATCTCTGTAACAATTTTTATTAGTTTTCATGCCACATTTCACTTGTTGCAAAGCCATTTGTTTGAGATTCTCTCTTTATCAGCCCATTTAAAAATACCAGTCTGAACCATCTGACAAATCCGCAGTTGATGAGAGGTGGTCACGAGAAAATGTCTACTAACATATATTTTTATACTCATCAAGTAATAACATATTATAGATACACATGATATTATTATCATCTTAGCAGCTAACATCAAAACGTATGAGTTTCACTACATGGAAAGGCAATATAAAAACAAATTTTAACCAGTTAGGCTTTATCTGCAAATGTACTACAACCTTGTATTTTTCTAATGAGATTTTTAGGAAAAACCTTGACTTATATTTGGGTAAATAAAATAAATAAATAAATATGCTGAAGGAAATTAGCATATCCTAACAGGTTACAGTAGTAACAGTTTTACCCCTTTGGTTGTGGTTACCAATAATCGTGTTTACCTGGACAAATGAAACTACCATATGCTGCATGTTTGTCTCTATTAATACACAAATTTTCAAACACGAATTTAATACTTACCACTATGAGATTTCTTGTGGCGATTTAATGATGAAGAGCTGTGAAATTTTTCTCCACAGTGTTTACAATTTATTTTCTTTGTTTCCTTAGATTCATTAATTTTTCTGTAAAATTAAATTTAAATTAACATTCAAATTTGAATATAATAAATTCACAATCAGGTAAAGTTAAAACTTACACATCATTCAAATCAGGATATTTATTTGTGATAATTTTCAGTTCCTTTCCTTCAGTCATATTTTGAATATTTTCTCCTCTTCCATTATGTTTTACTTCATCAACAGTATAATTTACAGCAGGAACTAAAATTTTCTGATTCGCTTTATCAAATATTGTTTCTGGGTCAATAACTGAATTAGTTGAATCCATACAAGTTGAAACTGAGAGACTGTGATCATTTACATTAAGAAATGAATGGTTGTCCATTGGAGTAACAGCAGGAGAACTAAACGTGACAACCGGAGTCATCTGAGCGTTCACAATTTCCTGGTTTTGGAATCCAAGGGGGACTGACTGTAAAACAGTTGGAGTAGACTGTATTATTACATTCTGAAGAATAATACCATTGATGTTCAGTGTAGTTGAAATGTTACTGAGATCACCACCACTAGGTAAAGACAGTCCAGATTTTGAACTATCAATATCATTGTTGGAAATTAAATTAGCTGGATCTGGAAAAACATTACACAAAGGGTAAGTACTTGCTGTACAACTGCACTCATCCAAGCATTCCTCTTATCTACTTGACAACTCTTACCTTGTAATTCATTTGAAACATTTGACATGGAGTGTATAATCTGAACATCATTTAAATTATGAATGTGTTTTAAGTAATTTCCACTACTTAGATCATTTACAGCTATGTTGCTTTGCAAAATATTATGTTCAGAACTTATATGATCATTGAGATGTATCTGATCACAGAAAACAGAACTACATTGTTTACACATATATGATTTACTTCGTTCTGCAATGTGTTCCATATATTCATTTTCCCCAGGGAAATTTCTGTTGCAATATTCACACAAGTATAATTTCTCTTCACTTGAATCACTTATGACCGACTTTCTGAATTCATAATGTTCAGCAGGTGATCCTCCTGCAAGTTCCGAACAAGAACTTTTCTGACCTTTCTTTCCAACATCATAATCATCTGTAGATTTTTCCAATACACCAACTGTTTCTTCACCTCCCTTACTAGAAAAACTTTGAATTAACTCCTTCATTGACTCAGTAGATGGATCCTCTTTATCAATCATTTTATTTGCTAAAAGCTCAGATAATCTATTAAATTTTGCTTTCTCTTCAGCAACTATTGCTCTTATTTTTATAGCATGAGGATTTGTCTCTGATAAATCATCAATATCAGGAATGACATAAATCTGAAATAAGAAAGATTCTGCTTACATATTAAAAGACAATAACAATTACAAAAAATGAATTATTAAAATACGAATATTTCAATCTTTCATCATTTACATTGGTAAAAAATTAGATCATAGAAAATTTTAGTTACACTTTACCAATTGATTGTAAGAATGGGATACTGCATTTGATTCACAAGTGTTCTTCACAATTGAAGAGAAAAACATTTATTGCAATGAAAAAAAAAGCAATATCAACAATTTCAAGAACTGGGAAACAAAGCCACTTCATGTGCCATACAACAGAAACAAGCATTGAACTGTATGAATCCCACAAACTACATCAGTTAAGTTTAAACGTTACTGATTCATTCCTCATATGCCAGCACTATTGTTAACATATTCCAGTATGTGTCTATAGCCAAACACAAAATAAATCAATACTATTTGAAAGAAGATAAAAAGTTTTTCCATGTCTGCGCAAAACTCAATACTACTCTTCAATACAACAAAATCAATATCAGTAGCATCTTATTCATCAGAATTTCAAATTCATTATTAGATCAAATTAAAACTTACCTGTACTGAAGGAATTTACCAATAAACATTTATTGACAATACTTACTGAGTAATAAAGTGGCAAATAAGTCACACAAACGTACCTCTCTCAATGCTTTCCTATCTGAACCATTGATGTTAGGCATTTCAATTTCATGAGAAACCTTAAAATGCCGACGTAGGTCTTGATTCTGGCTGAAGCGAGATCCACATACTCCACAAATAAAGCGACGAACTTGGCAATGAACACGAAGGTAATGTCGAACTAGATTTCCTGAACTGTTAAACATTTTTGGGCAGTGAGAGCACTTATGGTACAGCAAACTAGCACTGTTGTGCACAACTTGTATATGTTTTTTAACAGCCTATAAATAAAAATCAAAAAGTATAATTGTAATATTTTCTTTAGAAAACTTTTAATGAAAGCAGGATAAAATGAACATTTTCAAACTAATACTAGTAGTATTTTCAGGAAAGACTGAAAGAGTACTTCTGGAAGGAAAGGGGAGTAAAGCAAATTCAATTTGGACTCGCTCCTCCCATAAATTTGTAAAGGCTAAGTGTACTGAAACTAATTAAATTTGTCACCACAACATGGCAACACCAAAAAAGAAAAACAACACACATTACATTAACAAATGGTCTAATTTCCAATCTTTGAACAGCTTTTGGATTGTTTTTGATATAGAATTTATGCTGTGAAGCTCTTTTCCAAAACAAAAAGGAGCCATTTTTTAAATTGTTTTTCCTACTTGTAAGAATAATTTCAAAATTGTGAGTTTATAGCATGATGGTGACATGCTTCCTGAATCTAAAGCCCTTTCAACAGTCCAAATAGGTTGTCTAGGAATGGCATAAAGTGAAATTTGGCACAATTTTTAAAAATTTTCATTAAAGTTTAAAATATAACTTTTGAAATATTTTTGAGAAAAGGGGATTCCAAGCATAAATTCTATAAAAAAAAACAATCAAATGCCATTTACAAATTGAAAATTTGATCATTTATTCAGAAGTTAGTGGTAATGTAAACCTTCCTGGGCTACGATCCACCAAATATTCTTACAAGTATTGTTTAGTGCTTATAGCCTTAAAGAACAACTTTTTTTAGAATGTGTTTTTCTTCTTGAAATGATATTCACTCACAATTAATGGGAATACTGCTCAAGAATGTGATGAAAGCAGTATGTGATAATTGTTTTGCATAGGGAAAAATTACAGGGAAAAAAAATGTTTCACTGGGGAAAGGAAGCCAAAACCAACCCCTTAATCCACCAATGATTTCATTTTTTGATAAAATTCAGGAACATTTCAGCTTTGTTTAGTTCAATTGTGACATGAGCTATTTTTATGACACTCAAAGAAAATTACAAGACTATTTCTTTTTAGATAAACATTTTGAATCTCTTCTAAACAGCCATGAAAAGCCTACCTGGCGACGCTTGAATTTCCTATGACACTGGCCACAAGTGTAAGGTCTTTCACCAGTGTGACATCGTCGATGAGCTTGAAGCCGTGAAAGAGAGGGGCACTCTAAGGAACAAATATTACATTTAAAGCTGCAACAAAAGAATTAAATTTATTCAAATACACATATTAATCCAACACACAAGTGACACAAATGTGCCAAATATCTTTCTTAAAGCACATCAGAAGAGAGAAACTCAACTCTTCAAACCATATCAAAAAGCATCAACTTTTTACAATCCAATACCACAACAGATATAACATATCTTCACAATATTATTTCTGTATGATATTCTTAAAGCGGGAAAAAAAATTTCAGAAATTTAGATGATTCAGTAATACTTAATCTAATATATGACCAAAATTTTCTGTCAAACAAAGTTTCAGATGAGCGATTCTTATCACCTTAAGTTCACTATGTAAGTGCAAAACAAGGGTACATTCTTTCCACAATGTCTTGGTGAGTCAGAAGGCTAACAGCAGTATATGACACAATGTTTACAGGTAACCAGCCCACATCAATTACCATACCATTACCTGCATGCCAGCTTTATGTAAATAAACAAGGGTTTTGAAAGCTGGCTCACAGAGAAACAAGTGTGTAGAATGTGATGCGGATTCCTTAGACAGTGGAATAAGAAATAGAGTTTTAAACAATGGACACATTTGCAAATACTTTATATAAGAACAGAATGCAATATCCTTTGGGATAAGTTCTGTTGGACATTTCATTGCATTAACCCAGTTCTTCCCAAGGATTGACATACTTAATTTATTTCAAAACTTTTAATTAAATATTGATAAGATGTCTCCAAAGATAGCCAAACCAGTTTCTACATAGTAATTTACGGCATAAGGACAGAAAAAAATACATGAGTGAGATGTTTTCAGCCGAGGCGATGTTAGAAGCTAAGGCTGGAACTTCTAATGAATACTGTAACATTTTCGCCTGAGTGTCGGAGCATATATACATATATATAAAAATAAATATATAAATTACAAATGCTTTCAAAAAATCATATAGGTGTATTAAAATAATGAACATTGAACGGCATTTATGCAATGCTGGGAAGAAATGAGTTAAACGTCAAAGTGTGATCTGCAGAGCTAAGAATAAAAATTACATAAATACTGCAATATATGCATAACGCTAAATTTATCAATTTATAAAAATACAATCATTTTAATACTTACACTTTTTTTGCTTCACCAAAATGTGTCTTTAGATGTATTTGAAGAGCATTCTGGGACAAAAATGATTTGTCGCAAATTTGACATGCTATAGCTGTCTCATGTGCTGATGAATGTGACAGAAGTAATCCTGGGTTAGAAAACACTTGTCCACACACAGTGCAAGACCAATTGTTACACTTTTCCTTACTGTGCTGCAGCATGTGACTAGAACAACATTTTTATACATTGAAATTCCCAAATAAAAGAATTCCTGTTACAAGATAAGACATTTAAAATTATGGTTTTGAACAAGTCTACAAATAAACTACTCATCGACACACTGACTGACATTTCCACATTCCCGGACAAGTCTATTAAAAGTATACACCACACAGCTTAAACCATACCCAAAACTAACTCTGCTATGTTTTTCAATACAATTATGTCCCAAGCAATATTTTTAAACAAATGATTAGTTCAATCTTATTTTCAACACTATTGTGAGACTGTGAGAACATTTGTGGCACAGAGGTTTACATAGCCTCTCATCACCATTTGAATTACATTAAATGTCTCAAAGCAATGCAGTGGGAATTTAAGGTAGATGGGGAAGAATTGTAGTGTACCATGATGTTCTCATTTTGTCGAATCAGTCCTTTCCATCAATGCTTCCTTATTTAACTCACATTCTCCACCGTTTCTGTGATCAGCAAACTGATCCTTCTCAATAGAAACATTTTCGTATTTTACAATTTCTACCTTATTGTACCTAATTTTATAACTATTAACAAAACGGTTTAAAAGGTAATTGATTTTCTCTCCCTTCTTGTCAAAAAACTATATCTTTTTTAGGAAGAAACAATTGTTAATTAGAACCTAATTTTTACTTTCTCACATACAGGTTCTGCAATTGTAGAGTATTGTAAAGCTGCAGGAAAAAACAGGATTTTCAACAGGAAAACTCATATTATTAGGACTTGGAATGAAAAAGTCAATAAATCTTGCTCCTTATCTATAGTAAAATATTTCCTCTAACACATTGTATAGTAAGAATCCATGTTTTTGTGGATCCTTGATACAAAAATCAATAAATAGCAAAATATCTATGTCTGTGAATAATGTTAGCAGCTAAACAGTAAGCAGCTTTTTCATCAACATTTATATATGCAGATTGATCTGACTGATGTCACAGCCCCTTGAATTTCAAATGGATATTTTGATTTTTGGAGTACTTTACATGACCCTCAACATTTTTCGATTTTTTTTTTTCAAAATGGCTCCAATTTTTACTTTAGTTTTTCTTTAATAGAGCATAAGATGCATAAAGAATGGCATGTGTGTGTTTTTGTATCCCTCCTGATTTTTGAAAATTGCAGAAGTTCAAAATTTGATTGGCATCTTTCTACACTAGAGAAGATAGATATTTTGCCATAATGTATTTTAATAGTTTTGTTCACAAAAACAGATCTTGAAATACAGTCAAACAAATTTTTCCGAAAATATGAGTAATTTCTTGTGAAATGGAACAGTGCTTTGGATTGTCAAATTTGTGTTGAATTATTAGCTTAAGTTTTTACATTTAATGCGGCTACAGCTGGAAATGAACGTTACAAGTGATGTCTGAGATATGTTAAAATGGAACAGAAATTGCAATGTTATAATTGTATATACTGTTAATGAGGCGAAGAAATGTACATCACCCTAATTAATTTAAGGCGATGAAACATCAATTATTTGGAAAATAATTATTGTTTAAATTTCTGTAGATTAAAATTAGAAACGAACAATAGTATGTTATCAATTCAAATGAAATAGTAACTAAAATCTTTAAAAAAATATCCTGAAATGTACTCACTTATCCGATGAGCCGGGATACAGAACTTTCTTGAGCAAATATTGCCGCTGTATAATCTTGTATTGTTTTCTTGTGAAAAATTTTCAAATACTTACAAAAAATTTAGAATTCTACTGTTCATGTTGTACATGATTTTTCTACTACACATATGTTTTCAAAAAACTTATTTAATGAGATATAAGGCAAGTGAATTGAAATTTTAACACATCAAAACTTTTAAAATATAAGCTTTTATTTTTGATCAGGGCATTAATTGATATATATAAAACATGCTGGTATCTTTCTCCTTGAACAAACGAGAATTAGAATCACACTCATAAATTCCACTCAAGTTTCAGCTTGAGATTACATCAAGTCGATTACCAGAATTTTCATTTTATAACCATGTAGACTACTGTTGAATACAGTGTGCTACATTCACACAAGGTAATATGATTTTGTATATTTCTATAGTTGAATAAATAATGGTTAATGATAGTCACCAATATTATAGAACTTATCCTGAAAGAATTCTAGTGTGTAATCGAAAACTTAATATTTATAACATATTGAATATGAGTACTGAGAATTAATTCACACTTAATGCTTCTCTCTGGTGAATGGTGTGAAATTGCTAACAAACTAAAGTTAAGTTGCTCCAAATTGTTAGGCTAAAAGCTTGTGAAATTTATTATATATATTATATATTATAAAACTATCTTGTAGCAATTAGATATAAATTGTCCTTTCGTACTGTCTGCTATATAAATAAAGAAATAATTAATTACCTGCTTGCGCCTTTGCAGAGGACAAACACTTAACAAGCCTTCATTACGATCTCCTGAATTAGGGTTATTTCCTTTTCAGTTGCAATGGGCTGTTTTGAAATACTATTTTTATTCTTCAAAAATATGTGAATGCATATGTTCCGGTTGACTGATCTTCTACTTCTTGCCACAAAAAGGACATGTTTCTGTTTCGTAAATGAAATTGTTTACGATGATCTATAAATTCTTTATCTGAGAAACTTCTTCCACAAAGTCTACATTCTGTCCTTTCTCTACTTGGAATGTTCAATGTCAGTAAAATTGTGAATACCGTAGAAATGGCATTGTATTTACACAATCCAAAACTGAATTTTCAACAAGTATCATTTTGCCACATTTTTTAAGGTCATGTTAACTTTGCCTCCAAATGTTAAACTTTGAATAGGTGAAAGGCATTTCTTCAAGCTGAGACTTCCTCTTCATCCTAAACACGCGAATCTTCTTAAGGTTATGTCATGAATGCATCATCACAATGTTCTTTAATATGCAAGCAGTAAAGGTCGGTGTCATTCAAGAAATGCATGTTACAAGTTGTACATGCTCATTTTCATGAGTTTCTTTTATGAATATTCAATGCACTTCAATTCTAAAATCTCCTACACACTTTTAATTCATTAGGCTTCTCCTGAAATATATGTTCATTCAGGTCGTTCTGCGGTATCAAGTATTCTGAGAAAATTTCTTGGTTGTCACATTTGACATGATAAGATTCATATGTTTTTCGCTCATGAGCCTTCTTGTTCAACTAGTAGTGATTGAACTCCATGAAACATTATTTGTGCATTTAAATCAGGGGCTAATTTATGCTGTGGGTCTGCTTAATGAATTCTTAATGATCATGGAAAATGAACTTCTTCCTGGCAAACAAAACACTACAACCATCATTAGTAATGTATTAACTAGAAGATTGTAATCACAAAACAAAAACCTAAAATTATATTAAAAGCAAATGTTTTTGATGCAGTTTAATACAGTTGTTTTCCACACAATTTAAGAAATGAATAAAACTTAGTTTCTTTAAAATCGACTTGTTCTGACAAGTATACTTTTATTTACTTTTCTTTGTGTGTTATGTGCATCACCATCAGAATTATTCTTCAAAGAATAAGTGATCTTCGATATCATATTTTTATCTAGTATAAGTATTTATAACCATATATTAATTTAATTGTTGAATAATTCTGTGAGTGAAAAGAGAAATATTTTACTAAAAAAAATAATTGGAAAACACTGTTGCATTTAATCAATTTAAATTCCACAAACCTGCTCCACAGCAACATCTACAGCATGAATATTTCTGATGTGGTATTCCAGCTCGGTACAGGACAACAGTAGTTCATGACATATCATGCATTTTTTGTTATTATCATTACTTCCTAAATCATTAAGAAATGCTTTATATATATCAAATAATTTAGAATCAGAAAATGACTGTTTTCCAGTTTTTAATCCACTTGTTAACAAGGGAACTACACGATTAGCACCAGTAACACGTCTACTACCAGACTTGATTATTTCAATATGAGTAACTGGACTAATTACTTCAGGAATGGAGCACACATTTTCGGGTAAAAAGTCAAGGTTTTGAATACCACACATGGGCGAGTTTTCAACATTACATTTTTGCAAATCATTCACTACGAACTCTCTAACAATTTCCATTGCATCGTGAGTTTTCGTTTCCTCGCTACCATTTGTGTCTTTGCCGCAATACAGAATGTTGAAAAGTTCAGGGGTGAAGTCCGAACTCAAAGCAGAATTCTGATTTTGACTTGAAGATTCAGGTAAAATCAACTTTTCGTCTGACTGTGTTCCCAAAACAGAATAACCGTACTGTGCCATTATTTATACAGTACAAAATAATATCATACGGTAAAGCATTGTATAGGTTTGATTCCTAACTTCACAACTGCTTGTCACATCCGTCAATGGGTTCTTTAACCAAACTAAATACACGCCTACACACACACCGGAGAGTTCAACCACACACCCCACCCCCACACAAACAAACACCCGCAAACATATATACTCTTTGCCCGCAAACACCTTTTCTTCTGGCATGGAGTATATATAATACTCTCTGAAGGAGCATCCTTGCATTACGTTCCTATATTTTGATTTTAAGTGACTTCTGTCAACTGGAAATAGTCATCCAATCGAAAGCTTTGTAATAATAATACGGGAAAGCGCACAATGTGCATAGTTTATCCTCTTTACTTATTCAAATAGAGAATACTGAGGTTGTAAAAATGTTACACTTTCACAGTTTGATCACTTTCCGGATGTCTCTTTATCGCGTTCACTTTCGCACTGCGAGTTTCACCAGTTCCATTTGTTCTTTTGATTCCGTGTTGAGCTTGGAAATTGATGTGTGCGGTTCGTGATAACTTTTCGTTTTACACACCGTAAGGTAAAATCCATGCACCGCAAACCTTGCCTCCGAATGACATTCCTATCTATTCTGTTGTGGTCATTGCATCCGTTGTGTAAAATTCTTCCCATATTTCTTTATTTTTCTTTCCTAGTTCCTCCAGTAATGCTTGTAGGTGTGGTTTGTTTGGTACATTTGGCCACGCAGTTCTTCCACGTAAAAGGGCTCTCTTGTTCATCTATACACTAGACGTGGAGTAAACTTGGAAAACCCTATAGCCTTTTTCAGATACATAGATTTCACTTTCTCTCTTTCTTTCAAGTCTCTTTTATTCAGGTGTTCGCAAACAATCCCATTCCGTATGTGATCACCGGAGTTATTTTCAATCTCAATAATTTTATTGCTGTTTCGAGTGAAATTTGTCGTAGGTGTGAAATTTTATTCATCGCAATAATTGCTGCTGAGGTTCTCTCTTTGATATGTTCTTTGAAATTTGTTCCGCGAGTTTGTAGTTAGACTTAAATATTTGTTTACAATTTCCGAATTTTTCCCGTTGAAGTTGATGCCATTTTGGGTGCTGAGTCTGCCTCCTTTTCTGAACACCATAGCAACTGTCATGTTCATTAATGGCGAGGTCGTTTTCCGACGACCATTTAGTAATTAACCGATATCGAAAGTTTTCATAAGACTAGTTTTTTATATTGAAGCTTACGATTGGATAATCGTGTCATAGATGATTTGTCAGAATTCACTCTCTTTAAATCGGAGTACAAATACCTTGAGATGCTCTGTGCACAGAGCACTAACACATGTTTGTCAATGGTTCCTGAGGTTTGAACGGCGAAGCGTTATATCCACGAAGTCTCTGGGGAGGAGTCTCGACTCTGGTTTGAGGCTGGTATTGGGCTGGTGGTTGTATCAGAGAGCATTGAGGGTGGTATGATGGAAAACGTCGGCGGCTAGTCGGACTCAATTAGCTTCAGAGACACCTCACGGTGAATGAAGGAATTTATCTCGGCTTCTAGCCATGAGATAATGTCACGTTTGGCGGGAAAGTGTTGTGTGTGCGGGGGTACCTTTGCTGTGCGCATAAGAGATTCTTAGAGAATTAGTAAGTTTTTGGCTGTACTATGCGGTTGCCGAGACTTGTTTTTCTTATCACGTTTGTTATTTACAATGATATTTGTTTTCTTTCGGTTGGGTTGAAGCTGCGCATCCCGTTCACAAATTTAATTTAAAGAAGCACTATTTTATCAGACATACATCAAACCATTACCTTTTCATTTTGAAAACGGTTAAAAGTAAATATTATCATGACCTTAGCGATGATGATAGTTTGTAATAAAATGAAATGTATGAAATATTTGTATTCACGTGTCGTTTCATCGGATATGAAAAGCACCCACGAATTTCGGGTTCCTGTGCTATTAGAGTAGAAGGAATTCCTTCCGTATAAACAGTCGGATTTTTAAAAAATATATCTATTTTATAAAATGGTATAAACCGCTGACTGCCCGACGAGGGCACGCGTCGGCTGTGCGCTCCCGGCAAAGGGTGCCTTCCCACGTCGCCGCGGCGGCGCGCTTCCGTCAAGCAGCAGAGCCCTTACGACGCCGCCACCGCTGCTCGCCACGCCGCACCGCCGCCCGCCGAGGAAGCGGCCGCCGGTGTACTCTGGACGTCCTCTCGGCTCTTTTCCAGGCTGGACCTTCTTCTGTGCTCTGCTGCATCCGCAGCTGTTAAGGCCCATTCACAATGCAAACATAAACATAAGCATGGCGTTAACATAAATGTTAGGACTACGCCCATAAGCGGACTCATTCACAATGCGTTCGCATTGGCATAACACATTAACTTACACGCTTGCAATCTTCAAGCTTCTGTGCTTTTGCTTAAGTAAGACATAAGGAATGAACCAATCACAGTACAGAAACTCAAAATCGAGAAACGAAATATGAGCGAAGTCGAACTAATGCCATATGGGCCATCGGCACAGTCGATACCTCGAAATCGATTCTCACAACCAACCAATAGTAAACTAAAATGTCTCACATCCAATAGAAACTCTTCCTTTGCTGCCGTTTATGTTAGACATTGTTAATACTTCAGTCTATCACTTATGTTAATGTTTTCGTCTATGCGTTATGCTAATGTTTGCGTTTGCATTGTGAATGAGTCTTAATGGAATGCTGCTGTGCAGGGGGGGAGGGGGGAGGTGGCCGCGGCCTCTGTGGGCCCTCGGCCCCGAAGGCGGAGAATAAGAGAGTGGCTGCCCCCTGCCCGAAGACGGGCGACCCGCTTGCGCGTGCTTGCGGCGGTGGGGCGTCGTGTCACTGGGTGGCTCTCTACGACGCGGGGGCGGCGGCGGTTCGGGGACAAGGACCTCGTCCTCGACCGCCGCCACCTCGAGCCACTTGACCTCCGCATAGCCGTCCAACAAATAGTCGCCCTCATCGCCATCTTCTTGAATCACTGCTTATGGTCTCACGCATCCTGCTCCCCGCTCCACCGCTGTTTGGGGCCACCAAATAATTCTCAACTACCGAAAAACCTCCGCCGGCGTGAAGACAAAGGTGCTCACCGGGTCCCGGTCGAAATGGTGGTGGTGGTGGTGGGGGGGAGATCCTCGCACAGTACATACAGACCGCTGCAGAAGAGGGTTCTGAAGAATGTTTCTACCTTCTCCTTAGGAGACTCGCACCGTTTTTCCCGGTCCGCGCGCATCAGCTTCCGCTGGGAGGCGCTTGTACGCCCGGGGTTGCTGCACCGGCGCCGTGATGTCGATCGCGGCGCCGCCAGCACACAGGGGGCAGGGTCCGGCAGAATCTTCATTCGGAGCGAATTCTACATTTTATGTAAGTACCGCGAATGCTGTGACCTCGACGGTATCGGGCTGGTTCAGAAGCTGGATCAGCTCCCTCACCGCCGCCGTTAGGTCCCCGTACCATTCTAATTCCCCTCCGCTTCTAAATTTCTGCAAGTGGAGGAGGGATGGGTCCCCGCTGGGAGCTCCCGCTGGGCCCCCGCGGCAGACGGACAGTGTCCGCGGGTGGCTGCCCTCACCCGGTTCTCGCCCCTTCCGCGCTTGCTTCCTTCCACGGCCGCGGCCAGCACCTCGGCCTCGCGTCGCGCGCCAGCGGCGTGGTCTGCTTCCTTGCCTTCTCTCGCCAGCAGCTGGTCGGGCGGGTCTCCTGGCGCGCGTTGCTCCTGCGATCGCGGTCCTTGTTGGGGCGCAGGTGCCGGATTCCGCGGGGCAGCGGCGCTCGGTGGGTGTCCGCTCGCAGTCGTCGTAGGGGCAGCGGTCAGCGCCTGGGCGTTGCCTTGGTCCGCTCCCCGCCGCACAGGAGCGTGCGGTGGGTTGCTTATCCCCGCAGCTTCAGGGGCTGGACCGGCATTTCGCCCAATTGCACCCTGCGTTGCTTGTACTATACCTACACGCGAAAGTTTTCTTGATATTCCACAGCTGGAGGTGCGGGGAGAGGAGAACTCTAGCTACGTCACGGCTTAAAAGGAGCGTACTAATTGTGGACATGAACTTAACTTGCCAAAGCGCGCCACGAGAATGCTACGATTGGTTTGAAAGTACAAGGTGGTTGTTGCCAGCTCTGTAAATTGGTACCTGCCGTTCCGAGTCGATCCTAAGTGTCTCAACGCGTCGTGCTATTCAGCGCTGGGTGAGTAATAGAGCGCCCGTGTATCAAGAAAATTTCAGCGAGTAATATGTCTCTCAGCTGCGGATGGGGTGCCTACCCACCTCCGATTCCCGATCTCCCGTAGCTCCTGGATGGAGTGAAGTCTATGCACTCGAGGTTCGGGTAGCAGTCGGCGCCGAACTCTGGCAGGACTTTCTCGATGTATTTATATCCCTCGATTACTTCAGTCGCGACAGGGGATTGCGCGGGTGTCTGAGACGTGGGGTGATCCTCTTGGGCTCCTGTTGTGCCTGAGGCGTCCTGAGGGAATGCAGCTGCTTTCAACGCTTTCTCTACCAGATAGCGCAAAGATGGGAAGAGATATGAAACTACTGATGATAAGAATATAAAAAAGAAACTTTTAATGATTTTCGAAGATGTCTTTTCCTAAAGTCAAAAAACATTTCAATGCATCTACTCACATGATAATTATTGAAAAACGACTTGCTGTAACAAATGAAATATTGTCAATTTCACATATAATATCCACAAGTGCTATCGACAATTCTGTACACCAATGTGTAATGGATTTTCATTGTTCAGATGATGTTAACCGTAATAAGAGAGGAACAAAGAATTTTATTTCAGTGAGAGAGAATGGGGGAAAAGGCTCACAAACAAAAGAGGATATATACCAAACCTTATCAACAGGAAAATATAAGGTTTGATCGTAATATTAATATATTTATTAAAATATAACAGACCTGTTAACAGTCCTGTGCCTATTAACATACCAGCTATTGTTGGTTGTCAAGTTTTGTATAATTAAAATAATATCCTTGTCATTGTAAACACTCTACTGTGTATAGTATATCTCGTGTAAAATAAAAGATTAAATATATAAAATACTGAAAGGTCGCTAAGAACCTTCGATTAATGTGACTGTAATATACAAAAACTATTGGTGCTACAGAATGGCACAGACTTTCCGGTATTCGTTTTCCTTCGGTCTCGGCTAGCTATTCTAACTTGCCACATACTCTTGGCAGCTACCATCAATCGCCGTTCAAAGTATTGTACATCTTTTTGGACATTTTTTAATTTTTAGGTTTCTTAATAATATAACGGAAATATAACTTTCAGAATATTAAAGAACAGTAAAACCTCGTCTTAAATGGCAATTTCCTTTGAAAAATTAGGAGCCGTTAAAAAAAACTGTGTTAAAGCGCTACTGTAAATTCGAAATTTGAAACTCATTTCAAATAGAACTTTTGAGTTTTTGAAAAACTGCAATTGATATCATTTTAAGTACTTCAACTAACAAATTCAATAGTGTTTACAAATTGCTAGAAATGTGCAGTTCAACGACGTGAGAGATCTTCAAAAAATTTAACCTTTTTTATTTTTTGAAAAAAAAATACATCGAAATTAACATTACGTCATGTTAAAGAGTAAAATTAGTACTATCCGTTCGAAATTTTTGAACAAACAATATGAAGCCGTTTTCAAGAAAATGGTGTTTGAGCTTGTCGGAAAATGCGAACTTTTTAACTATTTTTGACAGAAAACGATTGAGTTTTCGAGAAACTTAGACAATATTAGACAAATTAGACAAAAAAGACTTATTTAAAGCACACGTACTCATAAATATAATAATGTGAACTAATTGCCGCTGATGTAAATATTAACGACATGAAAAACATGTCAAAAAATTACATTTTTGTAATTTCTGTAAAAACAAAAGAATAGAGCAATATGACGTTTATGTCATTTTATAGAGTACATTTAGCACTATGCGTATCAAAAGTTTATAGCAAAATTTGGAGCCCTTTTTGATAAAATCTTGTTTTTGTAATATTTTTAAAATTACACATATTACTCGCAATATTGCGTGAAAAGTACAAAATTTTCAAAAAATGTTCCTTATTGAAAGAACTCACTATGAAGAACATAGTGAGGATCAATTTAAGGAAAATCTTTGATTTTATAGTTGTAGAAAATTACCAAACAATTCAAACTTTAGAATTTTTCGAAAATTCAGAGTTAACTTATATGCCACGTTTATAAGTGTGTGTTACTCTATTCTTGCAAGAAATTTAAAGAAAAAATTTGGAGCCATTTTTGAGAAAATTTTGAAAATGTATGGAGGGCTTCATGTAAAGTACACCCAAAATTTGAAGAATATTTTTCAAAATCTCAAAGTTTTGACTCGAGCTACATGGATAAAGGTTTCATCAATTTGAAAATATCCTACGTATAAGGTTTAGGTGCTAGTGGTGTTTACAAACGGACGGACAGACACGGACGACAATTGATTTTTTGGTATCAAGAATACACAAAGCAAGATTTGACTCTATTTGATTTAATGTCAAGGTTTCGTGTCAGCCGAAAGTCAGAGAAAGTTCCAAGTGATCAAGGGAAACGGATAAGCGAAGAAGTTACAAATGTTCTGAAACAATCCTGGATATATCACAAAGTCAGTAAGGGTAATTCTAAGGGAAAATAAATCTAAATTCACAGAAGTTTTCATTGTTACAAATTCTGGAATTTTAAAATATATTTCAGTGATTTCAGTAGATGTTGAGATATACTTCATCGCATTCAAACTGATTTTCTCTCTCAAGCGTCGCAGATTTGAAATTGAGAACCTTGTAAGAGTTGCAATGGATAATATGTAAATAATGTACGGGTTGAAGTAAAGAACGCGGTACGCCCTTAGAGAAGCGGGGGAGGGGGAAGGTGGTGGGGTAGGGGGAAGAGGTGGAAGGGGGAGGAGGGTAAGCTCCTTAAACCTTCCTCAAATTACGCAAAGCGCTCTGAAAAAAAAATTAATGAAACTTACCGATATGTGCCTTTCACGTGACGTAAAGTTTGGACGCATAGAACACTTTCGCGTAAGTAGAGTGGCCCCTTCTTTGCACTTTCACAACCGAGCACAAAACTCCTTTCGCTTGGCCAACTTCTTTAAATTCGTAGTGCGCACAGGACATGTAAACCCTGCATCAATCAAACCATGTTCTTGCGCCTACTCAATTATAGCCAAACATCCCTTTGGCCCAACTCGTTAAAAAAAAACACTTTTTTTTCTTACAATTGCAGCACTCGACACTCAAAAACACAAATCACAAAAGAACAAGAGGTCAAGAAATGCCACTGTACGACAGCAACGTAGCTAATCACGACGAAAGCTAAGACGACACACAAAATCACAGAGGTTCGCCCCCACGATTGTAGTACCAGGCCCGGCAGATAATATGGGTACGGTGGGTAGGTGTACTCACACGAAATATTCCCAGTGGGTAATTTGGGGTGAGATCAATATTCCATAATCGTTAAAATCCAGAAAGTTTCTCGGTATTGCGTCGACTTGAAACGTATAAGCGATCTACTAAGTTCGAGATCGGTTCAACAGTATTGCTATTGCATGTTTATAGCGAGATGGCAGACAAAATCGATTTGCAACAATTGTTAAATGAGTTTATATAAATGTGATAACGATGTTATTCAATGACATTCACAGAAATGTGATAACAATTTGATAACAACTTAATGATAAACATGACTACTTGAAGAAAATTATGTTTTGTAATTTTCCCTTCATACACATTTCCGGTAAGGGTTGGTGGTAGGGGGACTCTCCCCTGTTTAAATACCCACTTGGACATAATACTAATCTATGGTCCTGTGCGGCACTATTTGATAATGCAGTTTCGACAGGATACTAGGGTGAAATTGCATCTCCTAACTTATGACACCACGATCGTGACCAGGGCGAGCGCTGCAATAGGCATAGGTAGACCGCGCGATTGCTCGGGGCTCCGTAAGTCAAGGGGCCACATGAAGAGACAGATGGGGAAAATAGTTTTAAAAAATTTTAAAAAGTAAATTAGAACTTGAGAAATTCGTTATTTGTAAATCATTAATTTTATAAGCCGCGGAACAGTACTTACTATTTTATAAAATGTTTAATTAACTTTTTACCTTCAATAGTTAATTATAGTTATTACTTATAAAGTAGGACACTCTGAAATGAATCAAATGACGCTTACATTAAAATATGTTCTACTGATATTCATAATTATAATTTCATGTATTTAACAAGTGATTTTCTCTAAACACTAACTAAACACAACCATAAGTTTTAAGCTCACCAATAACTCGTAGTTTCGTGTTGCAACTTTTAACATTCTTAATTTTTTCAGGAGCAGGGGGCTACGTTTCAACATTGCTCCGGACACAAAATTGCCTAGATCCGGCACTGATCGTGACCAAATACGAACCATTAAAAGATATTTCAGTATTGTAATTTCTACAATTTATTTAGCACGCGAACGCGGCAACCTTGCTGGCGAAATCACACACGCTTTGCTCATTATAAGCACTGTGTACTGTTACTTATTTTTATATATACAGTGCTCACTACCCCTCCCAACCGAAAGATTCCGCTCAGAACTCCTAATCACACCACGACCTCTCCACCATGGATTTTTCCCCTCGCCTGAGTGGTACGAAGTGCCGATTTGAACGACTTACGTAAGTTGCCAACATGGTAACTTATACCGTGTTCTTAACTTCAGTCAAATGTACGTATTTTTTGTGCATTTAAGTAAAATAATAGTAATAATAATAATAATAATAATAATAATAATAATAATACAGGAAACATTTTCGAACAGTTTCATTTTATTGTGTAAAATATGTCAGTTCCTTTCTTCTCTTTCTTCTTGACATTTTCAAGGGTTTTACAAGCGATAGCTGAAATAGGTTAATATGGTCAGAAATTCCGGTATTATAATTTTTCACAACCGTTAGTGAGGCGAGAATGTGCTATCGTGGCACCAATTTTTGACCTATTATTTCTAGCAGAACTTAAAATAGTAAAGTGAAACATAAGGTAATTCGGTGCAAATATTCGTGGAATGAGGCGAAATTTCTGAAATCAGACGAAAAAGATAAAATGCAATTCAAAAAGATGGCGATTAATTGTTCTAAAGTGGACGTAGAAATGAAATCACAAAGATATGGAAGGCGAGAAATATTGTATTGCAATTCGCCAGAATAAGTATTATCCCACAACGCGTCGTTTCTCTTCCTTGTTTCCTGTAATACCTCTTTGAAATTTCGCTCAACTAATTTGTGAAATTGATATGCCATGTTTGCCAACCGCAGTATGGTAGTTTTATCAACATAACCACAACAAACGCTTATTCGCAAAGCCCACGAGTATTTAAGACACTCAGTAAATCATTTATTGCGCAATTGCACTTCTCCAGTTTTTAGTAAATCTTAAATTTGACCTCATGTCCAACAAATTCGAAGCGTGAGTATTCCGATTGTTTCTATTGTTTTCAGAATCGCGAGTAACACTTGAATTGTAATAGACCGCTTTTGCGATATGGTTGCGTCAAATTCCAATTTTGTGTTAATATTTAAATATAGTTTACTTTAAAAATGATGGGTAATTGATAAAAAATTATTTAACTGCGCTCACTTCTTGAAAGTTATAATTTCAAATGATATCTGGTTGTTGTATTTAGTAATTGTTTCAGGCTGAAAACGAGTGATGACAGTGGTGAGGATGAAAATTGCTCAAAAGACTTACAAAAAATTGAAAAAGATGCCTTAGTAAGTGTGAAAATGTTTTTTCCCATATTTTACATCTCCTTTTCTTTTGTGACAAATCACCTTTTTGCCTTCAGACACCTCTTACAATTCCTCCTGGAGACCACAAATTGCAATATGAGTACTGGTTGTGGTTTAGTCATCGATCTCCTGGCAAGCAAGCCTCAGTTCAGAATTATGACCAGAATTTAAAGCTCATTGGGCGCTTTGCATCTGTGGAGCAGTTTTGGGCAATATATAGTCATCTTGCAAGACCTTCAGAATTACAGAGTCACAGTGACTTCCATTTATTTAAAGTCGGAATTAAACCCATGTGGGAGGTAAGTTTGTATCATTATTGTTTTCTCAAGTCTGCATTTTCTGACAAGTTAAATCTAAAATTCTCAATCGTTTAGGACACTGCTAATCAGCGTGGAGGAAAATGGATTGTGCGTTTGAGAAAAGGATTAGCTTCCAGATGTTGGGAAAATTTAGTTCTAGCAATGTTGGGGGAACAATTTATGGTTGGGGAAGAAATTTGCGGTGCAGTAGTGTCTATAAGGTTTCAGGTAAGAATACTTTTACTAATTCATTTGTTCTTGAAAACCCTTATTTTTTTGGCAGTCCATTATTCTTTGCCACATATTCTATATTTGTAAGAAACATTGATATTTCAGGAAGACATTATATCAGTTTGGAATAAAACGGCTCAAGATGCAGGAACTACAGCACGAATACGGGACACATTGCGACGTGTGTTGAACCTCCCTCCAAACACTATTTTAGAATACAAGACCCATATCGATAGTTTAAAGTGAGTATGTTTTTCTCTTTAATATTGACGGTTTTGCTGTCGAAAACCCTGATGGATGCTCTTCATTCATTTTAATCTTTTTGTTCATATTTAGTTATGATACTATTTGTTGTTTATGTTGATTTTATTCTTTTATTTTGCTTATTTCCAAAGTACTGTAAAAATGACATGGTAGTATATTATTATCAAAATTCTTTCTAGAGCTTGGAAAGCTGTTCCTTCGACCAACAACTGAAGCATGTTGCTGACATCATGTTTGAGCATTGTTGCAAGTATGCCTTGTGAAAGAGAAAATTGAAACTAATCATCTAAGAAAATTTATATCTCTAACACCAGTATTGTTCTACAATTACTTCTTGAAAGATTTTTAAGTGCTGAAAGTATTTTTGAAAGAAAAGTTAATAAAATGTCATATTAAGTTACACTGGATCTGGCTTTTAGTTGCCTGACCAGAGAAACTAAACATTATGTACATGTTATAATATACTGAAGTTTTGTCCTCACCTTGAGAAGTATTACATTACAGAAGAATATATTATTACTCATGCAAGCCCTTCTTTTCAGAGACAACTCCAGCTTCAGAAACACTGACGTTTTTACAAGATAGCATAGTGCACCAATTCTCATATTTGATATGAGAAGCAATGCAACAAAAGGAATACTTTACCCCAAGTTAACTTTCTTTTGTATAATTTTAACTTATTTTTAAAGATGTTTATAGAAATGGGAATCCATTCCTGAGTTGTACAAATGTACTAGGATGTAATTGTTATGTTGACTGAAAATAAAGAGAGAATTGGTGATTTGTATAAAAAATCTCATTTAATCCCAGACATTGGCTATTGAAAAAAACGCGTTAAAGCAAGACATTAAAAATACCCAGATGAGAGAATTGATTTTTTAGGTCACTTTTTAACAACTCGGTCTTACAGAGACCACTATGATTGCTGTAATTGTATGGACAACACGCACACAAACATCAATTGATCCGAGGCAGCGACGACATTTCAGCCTTAGCAACCTTGGCTACCCATGCTGATGAGAGGATTGATTATTCATCCAAATTGTTCTCAAAGATTCTTAGGTCGAAGCTTATTTGTCTATTAAACACGGCATTTACAGGTTGGGTCAACATGCAAGTGTATTGACATAGTGACTTAGTGCCCAATATAAATGAGGCAGGTTTCTGTACTTGTTAGTTTATTACACACATTGATTTTTGTTGTCCTCCCGTCTTACATTTCCTAACCACAACTATGTAACCAAGTTGATTTTTCTCCACCTTAAAACACTGTTTAGACCACTTGTGATCATGATTTTTGGAATTTGATGATTTCAAGTAGAGCAATGAAATATGTGCCAATGCGATAGTATGCTTTGAATTTCAACTTTATAGCAATCATTCATACGGAAATAGTGCAAGTCACATTTGCATTCAGAAAAGGAAGTTTCTTAATACCTTTAAAGTGGGACTAGAAATAAAGTACAGTATTGAGCTGTACCCACTTATACCTAGACAGCTCCAGGTAGAAAACGATCTGCGAGTTCCTCGTGAAATTTAAGTTCTCGTTGGAAAGAATAACAAAAGCACTGAAGAAAGTCATTTTTTCACATTTTCTCAATTTTTCAGTCCCCTAATGATAGAACAGAATTATGATACACTGTAGAGAAGTAAAAACTGGTTCTAAATGCAAATTTTCAGACAAAATTTCTGAAAATTTGCAATTCTGGGCTGATTTTCACAGAAAAGTTTTTGAGTTACTTCATTGATAATTTGGAGCAATTTTTGAGAAAATAATTGTTTAAAAGTTGCCTGCATCACACAAAGACTACCCACATTTAAAAAAAAAATGAATATGACTATTTAAAGATATGCTACTCATGAAAAGATTTAATTTAAGGAAAAAATTATATTTGATACTGAATAATTTTGGAACTATTGAAATTTTTGAATATTTAATAAACGCAAGATACACCATTTGTTTAAGCTTCTTTTTGCTCTATCAGAGGGGGGGAAATTTTCATCCTGTTTTTGAAAAAAAATTGAAAACATTGAGACTTAATGTAAAAATCCCTTCAAAAATCAAACTGACCATTTCAAATTCAAGGCCCGTGACATTAGTCAGTTCAATCCAGGAACATTTAGCTACTAGCGTTGTTCACAGACGGGATGTTTTGCTGTCAATCGATTTTTCACATTATTGACCCACCAAATATGGATTCTGATTATGGAACATGGATGGACAATGTGTTAGACGATGTATTAACACTCACAGGAATAAGATTTCTCAATCTTTTTGTTACCAGCAATAGTTTTTCTGGCAAATAATAGCTGTTTATATCTCACAGCAATTTCTCTAATCTGCTTAAGCAGTAATTTTGTTTATTTAGTTATATATATTCTATAGAACCAGCGGGCAAGAAAGTAAAAAATTCTGAGCCATTTTTGATAACATTTTGAAAATGTCCCATTGGCTTCAGGTAAAGTACCACGTATGATTTATGGAACTCTTTTTAAAAGGCCTTCAAGTCAGATCAGATCAACCGAGGAATATCCATTATGGAAAAAATTGTACAAATAGCTAATGTAACACAAATAGCTTAGTGTTGTTCACAGACAGACGTTTTGAAAACAACCTTACAAAGTGTATGTGTGTGTGTATCATAGGCTATGGCATGGCTTCTTTCCACCGAGATTGGTTGCGCACACATCAGGATATTGAGCGAGAGATGTATCTTGCAATTGAAACAAAAGATGCAACAACAAAAGTATCTTATGATTTACATTTAACAAAGAATATAAAAAAATTGAATTTAACACACTTAATATACTAATAAAAGCTCTCAAAGTAAAAATATGCTATATAATCTCAAAAATCCTGCAAAATGCACAACTAGAAATTAAGAGGGGCATGGAATAAGATAGGCAAATCTATCCCCGGGGTTAAAAATTTTGAGTTGAAAATTATAACTGATACTTAACGTCAGATTTAAATCAATTTACCCAGAGTACCCTGAGTACAAATGAAAAAACGTGTTTTTTAACTTCTTATGCAAGTTAAAATTTTTTTAACCACATTACACTTATGAATATTGACTTAAATTATTGTTGCAAGTTCCTAAAGATGATAAAGATGTTTCGAGAATTTTTTCAGGTGTTTTAGTTCAGGTTTTAAGTCATTCAGAAACAAAAATGTAATTGTGATCAAGATCAATATTTTCTAGAATGAACTCTTAAAAATCATCAAGATTTATGTTTTGAAACTCCAAATTTCAGGAACACCTTATTCAAAGATAATTTTGCTTTTAAGAAGCTTTTCATGGATTAATTTCTCACTATAAGAGTTTCTACATATAAGAGATAAAATGATAGTATCTGGAATGATTTTTTAACAAGGTTTTGCTAATTTTTTTCAAATTTGACTATTATCACAAACCAGTTATAAACAGTTTCTGAAGTTACAAATTTGTGATAATGTTTGAAAAATAGTGTTTGTAAACTGAAAATTCTCTCATACAGAATGTAAATCTTCCTTAAGTTAGGGATTAACACCACTAGTAGAATTATCCTTATGTGTAAATTTTGCACTAAAAAACTAGTGTTTAACAATGTTTAAATGAACATATTCAATATCAAGTGTGTATGTGTGTATATTGTTTGTAAAAAAAATTAAATATATACCTAAATTTCAATGAAACCATTAGCATAAATGTAGCGAAGATTTTTGCGCAATTTTGCTGCATTTATTGTGTATTATGTCAGTAATTACACAATATATAGTAAAAAATATTTATGTGATGCCCACAGAGAATTTTGACACACACCTATGAGTAAATGTTTACATATTTGAGTATTCATGGACAAATGGAAGCACCACTCATAAGGCGTTAATTAATATATACAAACATTACCAGATACATGCACAAATAAAGCTTTAAAAACCATATAAAAAGACATTACAGGTAATTATATACAATGCACACAAATATCAACACAAATAATACAAAAAGTTGCACAAGTTTATATTTTATTTCACATTGGAGTTTCTCATGCTGACGTGCACAGATTTGCGTCTTCATCTGCAAAGTCTTCAGGCTGGTCTCAATAATGCCATTGTTACCAGACCTATAACAAAAGCTATGTTGATAATTGTGAACTGATGGATATAATCAACAGCAAACAAAATATTTGTATCACACATCTGCAAAGAATTATTCAAATCACAATTTATGTGAGATATCTCAACAGTATAACAAACAGTATTTCTTAACCAACATGTGTAATTACAGAAACAAGATATTAGCCATACCATGTCCTATTGTCTTTCCTTTTCTTTATTCAACACATGCATATGAGATCCAATATAGTGTATCTCAGTGATTGTCTCATGGAAAACAATGTGTTTCCATGTATTTGACTGATTTAGCAACAAAATCTTTAATCACCAATCCTGAAGAGCTAAGCTTTTATGGAAAAGAATGTTGAACTGGGCTTGATGAAATATCAGAGATCCCATTTGCAGCTGACTTCATAGACTATTTACTGATATTTATTTTTAAAAAGGTAAAGAGATGGGCAATGGGCAGAAAATAGTTTCAGCGGATATTGTAGGTTTGGACAAGTGATGCCCATATTCTGAAATTTTGCATTCAAATTTGCAATTAAATTTTCAATTTACTTGAGCCTTTAATGATGGCACAACCGGTGAATAGATTTACTTGCATCATACTATTCAATATTTGTAATGCCATGATGTGCCATTTTACCCACCCAAATCTTGGCTTCAACAAAGATCCCAATCTACTTGAAAGAATTCCTAACTTTTTCAACATAAAGAATATTGTTATGACATTTTGACTGCATGTATCGTCAAATTATTATGTTAATCCTAACCCAGCCTAAAAATCTTAACTATGTTTACTAAACTCTTATGGAGGCCAAAGATCCTGTCCTACTTTTAAAACACCAGTTCTTGCACACATGAATGAATGTTTAAAAAATAAATTGTAAAGAAGATAGTGTAGAACACATGTTCAGTCAACCAAAGAAAAATAGTTTAGTTATTAATACTACTGTTATACTGAAGTTGAAAATGTATTGGATCAAGACACATCTAAACTTATTTCATTTTGAGTCCCCACAAAATTTTAAATGAAATAACAGTTTATAAACAAAATATAAGCCATTTTTGAAACAAATGTAACACTATACACAAAAAGTTATAATTTAAAGCTTTTGCGTTTATGAATTCAAAATTTATTTGCATTATAAAGGGAATAAATTATTCAGAGACAAACTTTTTCAATACAAACACTTTTTGGTACCACATGTATTCCTGTCAAAACCTGAAGATTGGGCTTGTTTGGGATTACTATCCGAACACTGTGTATGGTGAGAGTAAAATAATATTGTTATTTACAAAAACGTAATGCAGCTCTGTACAATTAAATCGGTTTGCAAGAACAAACCAAGTGGCTTTGCACTAATTTTTGGAAAACTAACAAAAAGCATTTTAATTACTACATGGATTGTTCAAACAAAGTTAAAGTGAGAACTGTGTATCACTCAATAAGTTAATTATTAATTTATGACATCAAGCTGCTACACTTCATACAGTAAAATATTTTTTTATGCTGTCGAATGAAGTTGTTTTTGCAATCAATATGTTATTGATTTAAAAAGAAATATAAATACAAAAACAAATTAGATATGTTTATTTATAAGGCATTGTTCCTATGCGTCTTGCAAGACAAATTTTTTAATGACTTCCCGTTTTCTCCTCTTTCCTATCCTTGAAACGTTTTCATTTGACAATTGTGGTTTCTTCTCATAATCAAGATTCAAAGAGAAGTTTTTGTTACGAAGCCAATACTGAATTTCAGTGCTTTTGAAACTCCTGGTGTTGATATTAGGGACGTGACATAAATGTCAATGTTTTCAAAACATCAAATCAAAGCCAATGTATTTCAAACATCAATGTTTTCTGCTTGATGTTTTTATGTTTTCCATGTTTTATTTGTGAATGAAAAATTACCATAACCACAAATATATAGCATATATATTAAAATATGAAATAATATTTTAATTCATTTATTAAATAATGGTAGCAGCAACAAGCTGTTTCATACATAACACATAAGAAAGAGTTAATTATATTCAGTATATATTGATTATATCTCAGTTCGTATATATCACTATAAATTTGCAAAATTATGAGTATCCAAACTATTCCTAAATGCGTTCAGGGCATCCTTTCCATTGTAGTTGGCTAGTCATGCATTCCATGCTTTGTCAATGTGATTGGTAATAAAATGTGATGTCTACCCCGTCTTCTTTCTTTCATTTCACAGCATCATGTGTCAACGTAGTTTGGAATCAGTGAACCTCATAAAGAGAGCATCAACCCTGGTGTATTATGGCAGCACTGCCTATTTATGTGGTCAAACCAATCAAACGCAATTTATAGTACCTTAATTGAGTAGACTATTACCCGAGATGACTACAATGCTCTGGTATATTCTATGGCTTTTAGTGTATTTAGCACACAAAGAAGCAGACTGCACAAGTGACATAGTGACAAGTGACCTCCCCCCTTCACCAACTCTCCTTCCGTGGACTGAGGTCTGACCATTCGAGATGACCTAGGTGTACAGTCTTTTTAAACTTCATCTCTCTCTCTCCTTTTGTGTGTGTGTGTGTGTTTAATTAATCTTAATTATAACTTAATACACATGACCATTGTCAAATTAAATTGCATTGCATATGAATTGAATGTTGGAGGTTACTAAAGCAGCTTTAAAACTTGATGTTTAAAAATATCTGTGGGCTTTAGTTGACGTACTAATAAATCAATGTTTTAATTTTAAACATCATTGCTTGGTAATATTGATGTTTTGTAATCATGTTTGCATCACTAGTTTATGATTTATAACAAAAATTATAATGAAATTTTGAAACATTCTGTGGTTCCTTGTTAGCTCTGGGAATATTTTAAATTGAGATCTCAATACAAAAGAATGTCTTCTTTTAAATTGATGGTCAGCATTTCTAGAAATCTATTATTTCATTTCTATCCACCAAGTACACAATGAAATTTTTGTTTGCATTTACAATATGCTCCTTTCATTCCTAGATTGTTTACCATTTCTTTGACATACTGAAGAAGATGTCATTCTTTACATAAGTACTGGTACAAATATCTTCCTATTTTTTCCTAATAATACTAACACCAGCAAAGCATTGATTTCTTCTAAACAGTATCACAACAAATTACTGCAGCGAGAACAACCTGATGTCCAGGACCTTAGGTATTTCCGCACTCAGCTTAAAATACCTACCTCTGCATGCAGGTAAGAATGGACTTGTTCTTGCAATTCAATTATGGTACAGAATTTGTCCAAACAATGTTGGTGGTATTGATATAAAATAAATATGAAAATTAAAGAGTGTCATTATCTAAATTGCAACATTAAATTTCTAAAGCGAAACATATGAATGAGGAAGTACTGGAATAATCATTTATTAACAAAAAATTAATAAAATCTATTTACTCACCAAGGACATAAGCAAATATTAATTTTAAATTAATAGTTAGGTGCAAGTAGACAGGAATTCTTGACTCCTTTTCTCCTTGTGTTGGCAAGAGGAGAGCTCCAATACATATTAAAGCAGCTGTAACTACTATATAATTTGGCGTTTGTATGCGACCTGGAACTGAATTTATTACATTTTTGGTAAAAAAAATATTGCATAAAATACAAATGGCACAACATTGAATGTTAATTAAGCTCTCTTCATGATCCACCAATCTATTAAACTATGAGGTCAAGGCCAACATCGACAAACATTTTTTCATTTATTTCACAAGATGCAAGAAAAGTAGAAAATAAAGTAAAAAATAATTCCCTTTTACTTTCCTGTACACATACATATATACGGAGTAATAAACATAGTGTAGGGAAGTTATGTAATGCTGCGGAAAATCAATTTCAAAATTTCAACGGAAATATACATTTTGGGGTCTTGATTCAGACAATGTATTAATTTTTTTCTTCGAAATGTCCGTCCGTCTGTCTGTCCATCTGTGAACACCACTAGCCCTAAACCATGCCCAGGTTTTTTTCCAGAATGGATATTCCCCGGCCGATCTGGCTCGACTCAAGGCATTGCAATTTTGAAAAACTTTCTTTAAAATTTGGGAGTACTTTAGGGACAGCCCCCCTCCCAGATATTTCCAAAATTTTCCCCAAAACTGCAATTTTTTTCTTTACATTTTTTGTAAAAATAGGCTCTCAGTCAATCCATAAATTAATTTGTACACGAAAATAAGAGAATTATGGTTTCTATAAGATTTGAGTCTAGATCTGTTGCGTGACCAAGCTATTGCTGCATATCATTATATAAGGATCAGGTAAGTTGAGTTTAAAGGCAGACATTCTACAAAACCTGCGTTGGAAGACTTCAAGACATTTTATATGACATATTTGATATGGCGACTATATCAGAAAAGCAAACGTTAGCGTAGGCTTGACGAGCATAATGTAAAAGAATCTCAAGATTCGTACTGAACCGCTTTCTTGACATGATCTATGGACAAAGCCTAGTTACGAACGGCTTTACGAACTAGATTACACCAAGATCACGAATGGAAGACATCTTTACTAGTGTAACAGACTGAATCTTGCTTGCTGACTGTGTTTATTCTAGATCGTGAATTTAATATGTGTATATTTGTTTAGGTCTAAAGTCAGATCATTAAAGAAGCACCAATCTAAGAAAAAGTCAAGTGCAATGTAAGGCAATCACATCAGTACTAAATTGAATGGCCATAAAAATTTTGCTGGAAAGATACCCTGAGAAAGAGTTTTCAAAAATGTATTTTGGGTGGTCAATAAAAGTTTGAAAAGTATAGAGCAAATGTGTTAGCTATAGCGCCTGAATTATCATATTTTATTCCATCCAAGTACATAGAATTCAAAAGACTTTTATCAATTTTTTTAAATTAATATACTTTCAGAAGTTTGTGGTATTGAAATGATGAATTGCTGTAAATGAATATTGTATGCAGCAAAATCTCTCACGGCCAGAGATTTACAAATCCGTCTAAGATCAGAGAAAAGTCAAAGTCAATGGCAGATGATGTGCGTTGACATTTACTATAGACTCTCTACGAGATAACAAATCTAACTTTTAAGTGTTAGAGAAAATCAAGTCCAACATGTTAATGTTATGGATAGTATTGCACTGAGGTGTGTGTAAAATGCAGTGATGTGTATGTATGTGCATGCGGGTGTGTAAATTTAAAACCGTCCATATCCGCAACTACTCTAGCACATTCTCTTTCTAAGCATAATTCCATTTTTAAAAGAGGATGTGTCAATGAGGCCCGGACTAGACTATTTGATATTTGTGAGAATATAATAATTGAGGACAAACCAATTTGTTTCAAGGTATTCGAGTTACAATTTTTCTAGTGACTCGCAGTGTGATGAGACAATGAGCAGGAGCTAGGGAAGTATACTGCACCAATAACAGCATCAATTTCATAACCAAAAACATGGACAAAGAAATCTCCAACATCGTTTGAACAGTGTAATAACATGTAACTCATATGTTTTTTAAGACCTACCAAACACCACCACTCCTAACATGGCAACTGTAAGAAACATTGCCATCGTTCCTAATAAAAACAAATTTATCTAGCATAAACTCAGAACTAGCAATGTCGTGGGACACAACCAAGTTTCCGTGAAAGTAACTAAATCAAAATCATCTATAAGATAACATAATTTTTCCACTGTTTTGATTTTGTCCTCTTACATTTTGATAGATTTTTAGATTTTTAGTTTGAAGATCTCTCTTCTTTTTTTTTGAGATTGCTGTTGTGGCAAGTCTACTATTCTTGGTTCCTCAACTCTTGACAATTCAGACAGGACTTTATCAGGACTTAATCAGGACTTTAGGGAGTACTCTGAGGCCTTAGCAACAATCAGTGCAGAAAAGCTGGATTTGGCAGTTTTCTTTCAATCATATGCACCATTTCTCTATTGCCATCAAGGCCCTGGCTTAGTTTTATCTATTTTGAAAGCTCATTGATGAAGCAGATGGAACTCACAAATGTAAGATCTCTCATGCCGATAATATGCGCAATTCCAGCAATTTGTAAACAATGTATTTGTCAGTTAAAGAGCTTCAAATGACTTCTAACAAAAATTTTCAATAACTAAAAAATGTTCTGTGAAAAAGACCTTCAAATTTTGAACTTACAGTACTGCTTAAACCCCCTTTTTTTAGGCTCCAAATTCTTCAAAGAAAATTACCAGTTAGGGCGAGGTTTTACTTCCTTTAATGTTCTTGAAATAATATTTCAGTTCAAGATGAATTTACAAGAACATTTATATGACATTATTTAAAGCTCATGTACTGATCAAGAAAATAATATGAACAAATCACCACTAATATAAGTATTAACAATGTCAGAGACAAGTAAAAATAAAAATTACAACATTAAAAAATTACATTAAAAACACAAAATAATAGAACAATATGGCAGTTATATCTTCTTAAAGGTACATTTAGTACTGTGCCTACCAAAAGTTTAAAGAAAAATTGTTTTTTCCATTTTTGACAAAATCTTTTGTAATCTTTTAACATTGCACATAATACTCACAATATTGCACGAAAACAACTACAATTTTAAAGAATGTACACAAAAGAACTCACTATGAAGAATAAAATTTATACGCATGAATAATCTTTAGCTTCAATTTAGTATTTGTAAGACATCGCTCAAAATATTTTGAAATGTTCAAAAATTCAGAGTTAATCCTGAAAATAAGACCTATGCCACCTTTATAAGTGAATTTAACTCTATTCTAACAAGAAATTTAAAGAAAAAATTTGGAGAAGTTTGAAATGAAAGTGTATAGGGAACTTCGAGTAAAATACTTCCAAATTTTAAACATTTTTTTCAAAATCTTAAAGCTTAGCCGGGAATCAGATGGACAGGGAATTCTTCAAATTGGAAAAAATCCTAGATATGGTTTAGGCGCTAGTTGTTTACAAACTGATGGATGGACAGACGGATGCTTTGAAAAAAAATTGCTTTCGATATCATGGGCCCCCAAAACATGTATTTCGTTGAAACCTCTAAATCAATTTTCTTTCTTTTCAAAAACATCACCTTTAAAGTCTTCAATGAAAAAGGTGGCACAGAAATTAATCTATTTATAGTATACTTTAGATGCTTTAATACACCGACTTTCCATGACTAAAATTCTATCATATACTCATTACAAGAGCCCGGAAGTTTGGCAATATGTCTTTTTATTATTGTTATGATTTTATGACTTTTGCCAATAGGAATCACTTAATTTTACTTCTGGAGCTGTTTTGTCAGATTGGCATTTTGCCTTATTTGTGCCTTTTCTGCATTTTTTTGTCTTATACAAGCCTGGACAACATGAAGGCATGGTCGTGCATTGCATGGCATTAAGGCACGGTCATGGAAGCTTCAGTACCAGGTTGTGTTAAAAATCTAAAAGGGAAAAGATGATACCACTGAAGATTTTTGATATTTTTCTTGACAGACTTGTTCACTCATGACAAATCTCATCCTATATTTGTGTATGGCCACTGAGCCCTTTTGAGGACAGTGCAGTCTGTACGTGACATATCCTTCACAGTTCCTTCTTGTTCTCTCTTTTTTTCTGGCAAACACACAACTGCGAAGAATCAAATCTATAATTTAATCACTGACACAATTTCAAGACTGAAAAAGGGAGTCCACAATAGCATTTCATAGAAACAGTGTCGTGAGTAAAATAAATTTGTAGTGGTCATACCAGATGGTCATGTGCAATCAAGATTACAAAGAAAAGGCAGTTACCTTCAAAATATGTGCCAATATAAATTTTTGTGTTAGAATAAAAATGTGAAATAATTTCTCTAATTTTAATTATTAATTTCTTTGCAATAATTACTTTTAAACAGTGATTTTTCAACGTTTCCTGAATTTCTACCCACTACTTTAACCACAATAAATGCCATTTTTCCAACCTTATTTTAGTAACAATTATGTCATTTTGCAGGCCAATTTTAGGTAAAAAAAAATGCCTGAACTTCTGGGCTCTATTCATTACTGTCACCTTTCCTCAGTCAACTTTTTAAACCTTTTTTTGACATAATGATTTACCTGCTCTTTGATCTCGCACTAATCCAAATTGCTGTTGAACAGATGCAGTAGCTTTTGGTAACTTTTGAAATTCTTCTGGATCATTGGTACTAGTTGCAATGACAATCGGTTTGCCGGGCAACAAAGTGGCAGGAACATCTTGTTTTCCTATCACCTGAAATTGTATAATGGATAACATAGAATTATTAAATTTAATTATATTCTTTAGAATGAGTCATGATATAGAAAATTCTGTGAATCATTCAAAAATAAATAAATGAAACAGAAATGACATATGGTCTTTGGAAAACATTTTGCATAATCTTTTAAAGTAATAGTGAATTCCTGTTACATATTTCTTAATATGCATTTTATAAATTTTTTGTTTTTTTTTTAAACCTAAGCCCAATAATACTATTCTGATGAACAATTTCCCAATTTCTTTGCGAAATAATCAAATATAACAAGGGAATATCACTTAAGCGCCATCCTATAAGTACAAAAATTATCAATTAAATTAGCATATTAATTTATCGGCATATAGACAAAAGATTGATTTGATAAGAAAAGATTTGTTTCTTGTCGCAGTTGCTGACAGTGGAATAATCATCAATATATCTGTCAAAAGTGATTTCCATTAATTCAATTTGACAACCAAATCATTTTCACCTTATCAAATGCTACTCTGGTATTTAGTTTTGTGAGATGTACATCAGAATTAACCAATCCTCACACTTTCAAAACCCTAGTATTTACTTTAATAAGGCCAAAGCATATGCATTTTCTATACTTCGATTAAAACATTGGGTCTGTTGACACTTGATCAGCTGAGACAATGTCATCCAATCAGGAGCCTCAATGTCATTACAGTGATGTCACTAAGTGACATTTAAGCCCCGATTGGATGACAGTATCACCCCTTCCCAAATGTCAATGAACTATATTGTTTTAATCGAAGTATAATGAGCCTTCAATATAAATAAATTAGAGTGATAAATTACAAGCTGTTACAAATGAATTTCTCTGCAGTATAGACTTTTAAAAAAACTTCCTTCACTGAGAATTTCTCACGTCTGTGAGTAAAATGCAAATTTATTGAGTATTAGTTCCTTATCGACACACAGAAAATAATACTTTTTGTATTTACAAAAGAAGGTTAAATTAGAAAATTCATTGGATGCAATTTTGTCCACAAGTTAATCTCTGATATAATGATTATGAAATGTTTTATATTCTTCATGTGAAATCAAATTTTTATGATTCCCTATGGCAAATGTGTATAAATTCAAATTAACATAAACTAGATTTTAATGTCTCAAACCACATGTTTAAAAAATGAATGCAAATTCACTTGTTACGCAATTTCAAAGAGCTCACATTACTTGGAAATTAGGTGGTTGTCTGCCAGTAAGTAAATACGCAATATCTTGTAATGAAGAAAAAGTGTTAGGTTACACAGAAATTAGAAAAATCATATGAGGATACAAAACGAGACAAACAATGAACAACTGACTATAAAAAAAGGTAAGCAATGACAAAAACAGGAGCACAATACATTCATGTACAAGAAATTTTACAATGGAAAAAGTACTGATCATAACAGTAGAAAATATTTAAGGTTAATGTAGAAAGTGAAGATATTGAAGGTAAGGCACAAGATGATAATGGAATAATATTGCCAAAGTAATAATATACAAAAGTGAGCAACAGATAAAAATTAAAAGCAAGTGGTATGTTTAAAATTGATACTGAATCTGATACTGAATACTGGAACTTTTTAATGGGATTAAAATCAACAAAAAATTTTTTCATAAAGTTTTCAGTTATTTAGTGGTAATTAAGAATCTCAAGTACCTGTTTTGTAGTATAGTTCCGCATTTGAATTCGAAATTTATCTGTAATGTTACAATTAGTTGGAGAAACTGCATTATGTCTCACAACTATATCAATACAATTACGAGCTCTGATTGCTCCTTCTGGATCTACGACCGTGTATTTGTTAGGAGCAGTACAAAGAACTGGAATTGATAACAAAAACACAAACATAATAAAAATCTTTAAAATTCATCAATGATAAAATAATGTCCAAATTTTACTTACCTCGAAATCGAATAGTGAAGTCATACGGATTGTACAAAGTTATAACGTGTTTGTGAGTACTTTGATCATCTAAATAAAATGATATCTGTGAAGGATACACAAAGACAGGCACTTGAACTATACCTGAAGGCATTCCATTAAACTCTTGCTGATGTGGGGTGGTAAACAAACCTGCAAAGACAAAAAGACACAATGTCACAATGAAATGCGATGTCAGGTCTAAGCACTTCCATTTATTTACAGACTGAGAAAACAGCTTTAACTCATTTGGTGAGGTGTAGTGAATGAAGAAGAGTACTCTGAATGAAGAAACACATCCTCAAAGTACAATAATTGATCTATTACCAAGTTTACGAAATGACACAATCAACGTAATACAATTAGGTCACCTCACCGTACCACAGTCATTTCCCAAGGATTTGAAATTTGTAACAGCGCATGAAGCGCATTTATTCCTTGTAACGTGAGTTAGCGATTATCAGGGTCAGGCGACTACGACAATTTAAAGATTGTCAAACAGCATTACCAGCAATCTTTCCAAGCATAACAAACTGTTGACCTTGTAAGTTTCTTAAGCATGTTAACAGATAGCGTTACTGTACAACAAACGACGGTCCCATTCAGTTCCACCACAAATACCACTTTGCAACAACACATTTTGAATGTTTGGCAAGCTTGATTTAGCGCACTGCTTAAATGAAATTTTGAATGTAGAACCATTGGCGTCCTTATAATTTCTGACCCCTACGAATGATTTCTTTTCTGAGATATTTCTAACATACTTAGCAATTAATAAGTATCAAATCATTATTATAAATAATTGGCAGTAATATTTATATATTTTTTACAAATCATGCACGTATTATAAATATCTAAGCAGTAATTTAAACAAAGGAAGTTTATTTAGTAATTAATGAGTATCAAATCATTATTATAAATAATCGGCAGTAATATTTGAATTTTTTAAAACCATGCAAGTATTATAAACATCTGAGCAGTTATTTAAACGAGGAAGTGAAACGAATTAAAAACAGAATTTATCGAAAACCTTAAATTCTATAATAGAATGATTTTATTTTCATTGCGTCTAAAAATATAACGTAAAATAGTACAAATCTATTCACGATGTTTATACTAATGAATCATTCAAAAACTCGTATTACAATTAATTGAAAAAAAGGCTTAGAGCATGAATGAGCGTTTGCGTAATTTTAAAAGATCAAGAGAGATGCTAAAATGAAAAGAAAACATAAGAAACTTACTCTCACTCGAAGTCCCGGATACACCAACACCTAAAAGACCATTACTCTCGCCTTGGCAATGCCGATCACAATTTGTTTTAATGGGCATAATGGAAGTTACTTGTCTGATGCTACTATACAGAATGAATACCGCACTGCAGCCGCACCGACAGCAATGGGAGCGGCTCAACGGAACTCTACCTGCTCTGTGCACGTACACTAAAATACCATTTCAGGAACCCGTCGCTTCTGCATTCAGACAAAAGATTTGGAGAACAAAAGGAATTTGGTGAAAGGTGTATGAAATGTTAACACGCGATCGAGCAGTGCTGCCAGCTCTAAAAATTACTCAAGAGAGTAATGCCGAATTTTTAAGTAGATACTTTTTTATTTATTTTTTTATTTTTTATTATTTTTTTTATAACGGGAAGATGAAAGAAATCTATAACATCCATGTTTCCGACTTGCATATTTCTAAGAAAAGTGGTCAAAAAATTGTAAATGATTCGCAAGATGAAACGTGCTGATGAAGAGTAAGCAATTTTACTTTCTCGAATGCTATTAACTCAGTCAAACCAGACCAAAAAATGGTGATTCAGTGAAATAAATTCCGTGGTTTTGAAATTTGTCTTCCTAGTTGATTGGCATCAACAATAATTCAAACTAAACAAGTGGTGCTGCAACAGCACATACTTTCTCGTATTATTTCTAAATTTGCAATTTTAGAAAATTCAATGAATTCAAGGAAAATGAGACCTGGATCATTCTTTCAAGCGTTCAATCCGTGGAATTTTTTTAAAGAAAAATTACGGAGGTTTTAGCCATCGTCTGGTTACGAGCGGAGCGTGATGTTAACTTGTTCTATGGTACACCCATCCACTCAGTGTCAGGGGCGCCCAGAGGAAACAAGGGGTCTGGGCCAGTAGATCCATGAGGTCCCATCGATTCAAACAAAAGTTCCTCTCATATATTATTATTATTTTTGTTTTATTATTATTATTAT